GAAGTTTGTTGGGATCATAGCTGTGCGTTGGCGGGAGATCCTTCCAACCCTCCCCAGCCCGCTGTCACCTCGGCGCCCCCGCCAGCGACCCAACCAGACCGCGGCCCGGGGCGGAGCCTCAGCGGGTGGCCTGAAGGCGCCCTCTTCAACCCTCCATCTCCCAGCCTCATTGGCGCCAAGGGGGGGGGGAGGGGGCGACTGTCGGGCAACGCGCAATGCCAGCCCGGGAGACCCGGAAGGAACCCACTCTCGATCCCTGCCTCAGTTTCCCCACCTCGAGCACTCGGGAGCGCCCAAGTGGCTCCAGGCCCCGCCCCGCGTCTCGGAGCCTCGGCGAGTTCAAACTCTCTCCCCGTTCCCTCTCCGGCTGGGAGCTTTGAGCTCAGCAGTAGCGGGCGCCCGGGGCGGCGGCGGCGACTGACCCGGGAAGGGTCTCGACCCCCTCCTCCTCCCATCCCGCGGCGCCCCAGCTGCAGCCCCCTCCGCGCGGCCCCAGTACCTTTGCCCCGTAGCGGGCCCCGCGCCTCCTCCTTGGTGATCTGAGTAATGACGGCCGAGCTGTCCATGGGGCCGGGCGCGCTCCGCTCCGGCCGGACTCTGGCCCGGGCGCCCGGCCTCCCCCCCGGCTCGGGCCGGAATCGGGGCGCGGGGGGGAGGGGAGGGGTGGGAGGGAGGGATCCCCGCGAGCTTCGGAGGGGAGGGGAGCCAGGTTCTAAGGGGGAGGGGGAGGGAGGGGGCGCGGAGGAAACTTTGTTACAACATGGAGTTTCCTCCCCGCGAGGCGGATGCAAACATGGAACCCGGGCGCTGTTTCAAGGCTCCCCCTTAAAAGGGCAACGGCTTCGGCGTGACCTGGACTCGGCCGCGGCTTTCATCACCGCTGGGGCCGGCGCGGCTCGGGTCTGCTGGCCGGGAGGCGGGCCCGGCCGGGTTCCTGCCGCGCTCCAGGGGGCGTCGCCTCTTTTCCTGCCGCCCGCCCGCGGGGCCGAGCCTCTGCGGCTGCGTGGCAGGACCGGCACCCGGCCCACAGTTCCAGACAGCCGAGCGCCCGGGGCCAGGGCCCGCCCCACCCGCACCGAGCGCCCACGCCGGGGAGTGCCCGAGGGCGGCGCGGCTCCACCTCTGCACTTCGCGAGCGCCAGAGACTAGCCGCTTCTCGGTTTCCTCATCTGGGAGACGGGAATAACGCTCTCTGGTCTGCGAAATGGGTCTTCAGTGGTTGCAGGGACCGCCTCGCAGGAAGTCCTGAGCGAGCGAAGGTTCTGCCAGCTCCAAAAGTCTGTGCAGATCCGCAGAATTGTGCTTTTGACCGGACCGGGACCGTCAACACCCACCGCTGTTTCGGGGCCAGGTGACCCGGATCTGTAGGGCGTGACAATTACAACTCCCTGTCCCGGAATGCCCCCTGCGGACCTCGCCCAATTGCCCCATCGGGTGCCCCAAACGTCCGCGCCCACGGCAGGGCACCAAGTCCCTATGTGCCTCAGGGCCTTCGTGTGCGCTGTTCCCTCTGCCTGGAAGGCGCTTCCATGCCCTTCACGGAGCCAAATCCCACGGACCTCTACGACATGCCACCTGCTCCAAGAGGCCTTCCCAGACCCTTCCTCTACTCCCCACGCCGGGCACGCTGTAATTATTGGGGCGGGGGGTCATGCGGTGTCCGCACGCAGTGGGCGCTTAATCCCTGCGGGCCCGATTTCTGACGGTGGGGGCGTCCACAGACATCAGCTGTTTGTACGATTTTAAACACCCGTTGCACTTGGGGTGTACGGAGACACGAACTGGCGCGGGGCCCGCGTTTCCACGCGGATTCTTCTCGAGGGAAACTCCCGTGTTATGCGCCGCGAGGCCTGCGGGTGTTTTTGTTCTGTTTTATTTCTCCTGTTTCGGAAGTTCTTTCCATTCTCCTTACTATTTTGTGTTCACAATTTAAAAAATAATAATAACGCCAAGCCCCGACAAACACGCCTCAGTACTTCCTTCCCCCGCGGGGCCTCGGTGGCGGGGCGGAGCGGGCGCGTCCTGTCCCGTCCAGCCGCCTGGTGCGAGCTCCGCGCACGTCCTCCAGGCCCGGGGCGGGGTGGGTTGGAGGGGGAGCCGGGGAGGGGAGAGGCCCTGGGGAGGGGAGAGGCCCAGCGCCGGGGCTGCAGGGCAGGAGGGCGGTGCCGGCCCGAAGGCGCGCCAGCTGCTTGCCCTGCGACGGAGAAGAGAGGAGGCGGCCCGGGGCTGGATGGGACTCCCTCCACCCCCAGCCCCCAGCCCCCCAGCCCAGCCCCAGGCCGGACCCCGCAGCCGTCTCCTGCCCTTCGGCGCCCACATCGCCACCAGCGTTGCATTTAATCCTAATAATCACCAACGTATAGCTAGCGCTTCGTCTACACCCTGCTCTGGCTGCGCCCCCTAATCTCCTTCACTCCTCAGAACGACCCCCTTCTCCCATTTAACAGATAAGGCAAGTGAGCTCCGAGAAGTGAAGGGACTTGACCCAGCCTTCCGGCGAGGGTAGAGGTGGGGTTCTGGCCACCAAGCCGAGACCCCCCCCCTTCGGTTGAGGCCCGGGGCGGGGTGTCAGCTTTATCTCCGGATGCCCAGCTCGCACTGACCCCAAAAGGAAACGTGTGGTGGAGGACTGAATGAACCCTGGCCTGAGCAGGGCGGCTCACCTTCCTCTCCTTTCCTTTCTCCCTCTCTGAAGGCTGAAACCTGGCCCGGCTGTCCCCTTGGGAGTCAGAGTAGCCGACCGAATGGATAGGGCACCGGGGAGGGTCGCTGCCCACCCCCGGCCCCATCCCCCTCGCCTCCCATCCCTAACATCAGCCACCTCCAAGGCCTCTTCCCCTGGGAGACCTTCCCAGGCTCCAACGCCTTGGAGGTGGACCTTCCCCCAGGGAGAGGTGGTTACCAGGGAGTCAGGAGCCGGCCCCCACCCCCACCCCCGCCCCTGCAGGGCAGGGGCGGGGGTGGGGGGTCTGTGGAGACCACAGAAGCCGTTGGAAGTGTTCTGTAGGGTCTCGGGGGTTCTTTGGGCTTCCTCCCTGGGAGGGGGGGCAGTGTCCACACCCAGCCGCTACCCCATAACTGCACTGCCCCTGCAGCTGGAGGTCACCTTACCCACAAGTTATTTTTCTCCTGCACCCCAGGAGGAATCAGATCAGGCGGGCTGTGGATCCAGAAACACCAGGACTCCGCTGGGTTCTGACTAGCAACCGTGGACAAGAGTCTCCATTTAGCACCTTAGCGTCCTCATCTGCCAAATGGGCTTGCTAAGAGCCCAACCCAGGAAAGTGAAGGGGGAGGGGGGGTCAGGGCGGAAAGGGAGGGTGTCCTCCTCAGGCCCTTGGGGAAAATCCAGGTGCCAGGCCCCCTCCCCCCTCCCTCCCTCTAGGAAGAACCAGAGCTACTAGGGGCGTGGAGGGCAGCCTCTTGTAAGGGCTTCCTGCCCAGAAACGACTGACCTTGGCCTGACCTCAATGCTAACCCCTTGCCCAGGCCCAGGGTAGCCCCGTAGCTGACCCTTTGGTCCCTTCCCCTCCCCGCCTTCCCTGCACCCGCATTCTCAGTGGCCGCCTTAACTATTCACATGCCCGGCCTGCTCCTTCATCTGGGCTCCCCGATCCTGCTCTACAAGATCCAAGAACTCCCCACAACGTTGCATGTCTCTGTTTAGCACACACCTGCCCCACACTCCTGGCAGGTTCATTCTCCCTTGGCTGCTCCCCGCCCCTCCTCCATTCAGCTTTCAAAATCCTGTTCAGGAGTTACCTGCTTTGGCCCCGGCTTCACTCTTTTCCAGGTGTGCCCGACACACACTTGGGTCGTTCCCTCGCCCCACTGTTGAGTGATTTGCTGTCACTTAACGTAGCTGGCTCCCCCTACTGGAGTGTGAGCAACTTGAGAGCTGACGTCTTTAATTCGGGACTTTGCCTCCCTCCCCCACGTCTAGCACAGGGATGGGACCCAATTAATAGTGAATTGATGGAGAGGGGTGTGCCGGGGTACAGCTGGGGACACCTCCAGGAAGCTGGAGAGGAGTACGGAAGATGCCTCTTTCTCCATTAATCCGGCCCCCATCCATTCCCTTCTTCAGCCAAGGTGGGTCCCAGCCCTCTCCAGGGCCAAGCCCAGAAGAGGCTACAGCGGCCTTTCAGCTCGGGTACTGTACCCTCTCCCAACCGTTTCTCTGGTTGGGCCAGATCTGTCCCATCCTGTCCCTCCTTAAGGGCCCCACTCGCATCGTTGCCCTTTTAAGAAAGAGGAAATTCTTCTCATAAACAAGCACCCCAACCAGAGCGCGGAGCTTGCCCCGCCAGATCCTGGGCAAACGGGGGTGCTTCCAGGCACAAAGCTGGCTCCAGGCTCAACCCCGGGAAAGACCTGGCGGCCCCTTCTAGCTACCGCTCTCCGCAGCCCAAAGACTGGGGTCCGGGAGACCCGAAGAGGCAGGAGGAGGGACTTGGGGGAGCCTAGAAACAGCCCAGGGAGCGTCTGTAAAGTGCAACCCCTGCACCGGGCGAAGGGGTGCCGGGCGGCTCCCAGCGGCCGAAGGGGTTTCCCCGCCCACACAACTCCCTCTTCACCCCCCGCCCCTTCGCCTGGGCGGATTCTGAAGCCCCAGGGCGCTAGGCTCGAGCGCCCGCCTCCTCCTCCTCCTCCTTGGCCGGGAGGGGTGAGGCCGCGGCGGGGAGTGAGGGCGCTCGGGACCGTCCCTGCCCCTAGGGGGAGCTGGGAGTCAGCGCGGAGGGAGCGTTAAGAGTGCGACGTGGGAGTCCCGGACGCCCTGTCCCCTGGGGAGATAGCAAATGAATTGGGCCTCCGAGGCACGGACTCTTGGGTTCCACGACCTGGTGCCCGGAGAGGGGACAACTGCGCCTCCGTTTTACTGCCTGGAAAGTGGGTTGCGGGTGGAACAGAAAGTCTGAGGCTACTCTAACGGAGTAGGAGCGAACTGATGTTCGAGTAGAGGGCTTCTTCTAATTGTTCGAGGATTCGTGCTTTCCCGGTTTCTGCTCTCCCGCTCTTTTGGACGAGAAGTGAACTAGCATTTATTGAGCATTCATCAGACTATCCTAAGTGCCAGTTTGGAACCTGTGTCCCGCCCCCAACTGGGTCCCTCAATAAATATTTTTGGAGTTACTATTATTTTTAAGTCCCAAGTGTCAGGCACTGTGTTAAAGTGCTTTATATCCACCGCAAGGTTGGTGTTGTCCCCATTCTACAGATGAGACCACTGAGACTGGAGGTTAATCACTTGTCCAAGCTAGGAAACAGCAGGTTCCTATGGAACCCAGGTTGGCCTGCCTCCAAAACTCCCACTCCATCTTGCTGCCTCCACACACACTCCAGCAGGCCAGTCTGCCCCAGTCATTCCATCCCCCAGCCAGGCCCTGGGTGGGAGTTCATCCAGAGATATTCCCCCTCTCCTCCTCTTCAGGAAGCCCATACAAGAAGTGTTGATGGGAGCTGTGGGCCAGAGGTGTGGCTCCATGGGCAATGAGACAGGTCCAGACCTGGGAGAGGGGCGACCGTGAGCCCAGGAGAGAACAAGGCCTTCCAGGAAGCCCCGGTGCACCCCCTTCCCCCAGTGCCCTCCATCCTTTGCCTCCTTTCCTTGCCTCCCCCATCCCCAAGGCACCCTCTGGCCCTACAGTACCAGATAGGTGGTGAGACCCAGGTAGACCACGGCCAGCGCGGCTACAAGGGCGAAGTAGGCCGGATGGGGGAGGCTGGGCAGGTAGATGACCACAAAGTAGAGGTTGATGGCACAGACCAGCGCCATGATGGAGATTGTGATGGCCTTGCTCAGCCTAGGGGACAGGAGGGAGGCTCAGGACAGGCTGCATCTCCTTCTCTCCACTGCCCCAAGCCCGCCTGGAGGAGAGTGAGGGGATACACGAAGCCACCTTCTCCGGGCCGTGGGACCTGGAGCAGACCCCTTGCCCACTTCTGTCTCCTGGGCCCCCCAGGCTCCACACTGGTAGGATTTGGCAAGAGCAGAGTCTGAGGTGAGACAGTGAGGAGCTCAGGCTCTAGAAACAGCCTCCCAGTCCTAGTTCCCCACACTTGATAGTTGGGTGACCCTGCACAAGTTCCTTAACCTTTATGAGCTTCTCTGGATACTGGTAATTCCTACCTCTAGGTGGTTGTGAGGATCAAATGCAGAATTGCAAGTCCAGTGTTGGGGATGGGGAATACTCACCGGCCATTGGCAAACTCCTGCATGAGGGCTGGCATGCTGGTGAAAGTAAGGATAGGCAGCACAGCAAAGGGAAGCTGGGGAGAAGCAGGAGGATGGGGCTGAGGGACCCTGCCCTCACAATGCAGCAAGAAGGGAGGAGTGGAGCAGGGTTCCAGTCTTGCTCTGCCTGTGTGCCCTTGGGCAAGTCCCCTAAGCCCTCGGAGCCTCAGGTTCTCCACCTCTGTGCCTTCCAAAGTTGTGAGGCTTCTAAGCAGGAGAAAGCATTTGGGGGCTCTGGTCCCAGGCTGCCTAAGTTTGAACGCCAGCTCTCCACTGGTCACTTAACTGTGTACATCAGTTTTCCAATCTGTGAAATGGGGACAATGGTGGTTCCTCTGGGGATTGCGTGAGCCCTAAAGGCAAGGTGTGTTTAGAGGAGTGTTAAGGGTGGGGGGAAGGCTCCGTATGGAGGATTGCTGTGGTTCCTGGGTAGCTCGGCAGGGGCAAAGGCGCTAGGGACCACGGGCTCACCAGCAGGCTCTGCAGCACGTTGAGCAGGTCATTGAGACCTGACAGGTCTTTCAGGTCCCTGAAGACTGCCACGAGCACGGTGGGCAGGATGGCGCAGGAGCGAGTGAGGAGCACGCGGGCAAAGCGTGACCACCGCAGCTTCAGGAAGCCCTGAGGTGTGGGGTGAGCACCTTGGTGGTGGGGTTCAGGACTAGGGATTCCAGAGGAGGGATCCTCTATCGTCCCTCAGCCCATCTCGCACCAGGGGGAACCCCCTATTTTTCCATCTCTAAAATGGGGGCAGCTCTTACTCTAGTTGGCAGAGGATGGATGAGGAGAAATGGGGTTCCCCCCACAGCTGATTGCCTAAGACTAAGCTTTTGGGGAAAAGGCTCCTATTAGTCGTGGGTCTGCAGGCTTGAGCCAGTAACCTCACTTCTCTGCATGTTTTCTCATCGTTAAACCGGGGAGGGGGGCGGGGAGGGGGGCGGGGAGGGGCTTACAATAGCGCCCTCTGGGCTGCTTTAAGGAGCAATGAGGCTGGTATCTGAGCCCCCAGAGGTGTACCCATTGACCTGGGACCTGGCCCTTCCCGGCCCGCCCCAGACCCCACCTCCATCACAAACTGTCCCGCGTAGGTGCCGGTCATGGTGGAGCTCTGCCCGGCCGCTAGGAGACCCACGGCCCAGATGTAGAGCGCAGCCGGGCCGAAGATGCAGCCCAGGATCACGCCCTGCAGGACGGGGTGTGGTTAGACCTGTGGCACCGCCCCTCGCGCAGGCTCCACCCCCGAGGTGGGCGTGGCCACGAGCCCAGCTGGGGCCGGACCATTAGCTTCCATGCCCATCCCTGCCTGGTGCTTACTCCTTGGTAAATGTCCACCGCCACCGTAAGGTTGTTCTTGGGGAAGATCTTGGCGTAGTCGTGGAGGATGCTGTTGGCACAGACGTTGAACTGTGGACAGTGGGAAGGGGATGTGAAGTGCTTAGTTTCAGAAAATCAGACAGCCAGGCCTTGACCAGGGGTGGAAAACTGGTGACCCGCGGGCCGAATCTGGCCAGATGTTATTTTGCTTGACTAAAGAATGTTTTTCCTCTGTAATGTGAATTTGTTGCCAACATCTAAAATTGAGGAGAATTCACACGGGAACCCGGTTTCCAGGGTGCTGTTGGGTTTGTAAAGACTAGCATTACCACAAAGGGACGATTGGCTGGCAGTGGCCCAAGCTGCTCCACAGTCTCCTCTCCCTTACACTGGACCCACTTACCACAGCCCTGAGACTGCCTGGTCTTTAAGGCCACAGAGCAAGGCAGTGGCAGTGCCTAAGTCCCGGGAGGCACGGCCAGTCCTCCCCCCGCAGTGCTCTACATTCAGAAAGCACCCACCCCTGGCTAGCAGTTGTTAGAGCCGCGTGACAGAGACCCACTCAGGAAGGAGAGGGGCCCAGGTCCCAAATCCCAGAGAGCCAGCGAGGAGCTCTGTATCATGGCTGCTATATCCCCAGGGTCGAGGCACTGCCTGATCCCTAACACATACTCAGTAAATCTTTGCTGAATGAATGATGATTTATCTGCTGACAATGAAGATGATCAGGAGAGAGGACTCAGAAAAGAAAAGGACTGCTTGAACAGTCCCAACTCTGTGCTCATGCGCAGGCAGGCACCTACTCCCAGAGTGCCCTCCCTGCAGTTCGCTGGACAAATCCTGGCCATTCTTCAAGGTATAACTGGAAGGCTGGGTCCCAGGACGGAGACTCAGCTCCTCCCTCCCAGTCACCTCCTTTGCATGTCTGTGCCTTGCCGCCCTGTGGGCTGCCTGGGGGGAGCCGTGACTCCCCAGCAGAGTGGGGAAGGGGTCTCAGCCAGAGGCCTGGTCACAGACGCCCTCCTCTACCGGTGCCGGAAGTGCAGGACGGACACTCAAAGGGCTCAGATGCATTGCCTGGTGTCCCCAGCAGAGCCTGCAGGGCTTGGGGGGGTGGGGAGGCCGGCTGTGGCTGTGTGGGGAGGTATATCTCACCGCAGCCTCGTTGGTTTGCTGGTAGAAGGCCTGCCCAAACACGGCTACAACAAAGAGATTGATGAAGAAGGAGACAGACAGGGCGACGGTGGCCTCGATCAGGAAGTACATGTTGGCTTCTCGGATGTCCGTCCGGCGGGACCGGTCTATCTCTCGAGACTAAGAAGGTCAGAGGGGAGGAAAGAGCCAAAGTTCCTCAGAGCTCCCCCAACATTCTCCACCCTCACACTTCTACCTATGTTCCCTTCAAACCCCAGTTCTTCCTAAAGCCCTCCCCGTGGCAGTTTGGGACAGGTCTCGGTCAGCTGACACCCCTCCTGCATGCCCAGTTATATTCTGCCTCAGGGCCTTTGCACTTGCCATTCCCTCTACTTGGAATATCTTCTCCCCTGACCTTCCTTCCTATCCTTCATGTCTCAAAGGTTACCTCCTTAGAAAGGCCTTTCCCAACTACCTTTTCTAAAGTAGCTCCTGCTTAGTCATTCTCTATCATATTTCTGTTTCCTTCCTTCAAAGCACCTTTCACAATCTATAATTGTTTCCTTTACCTGTTTACTGGCTCATGGTCTGTCTGCCCCACTAGAATACGAGCCCCAGAAAGGCAGATGACTTGTCTGTCTTTGCATCACTGACCCCTGGCTCCCAGCACACAGTAGACGCTCTATTACTACATATTGGGTAAGGAGAGAATGATTCACTTCCCGCCTAAAATCCGGAAGGCAGGAGCCAAAGGGGCGGGGCTCCCGGCTTGGAGGCGGCGAGAGCGGGGGCGGAAGGGAGCAGGCATCTCACTGTCCCCTTGCCTCGGCTCACCTTCACCAGGGCCGAGTGCAGGTAGATGTTGTGAGGCATGATGATGGCGCCGACGATGCCCACGGCCTGCAGCAGCTCTGCACGGCCGCAGCCGGGGCACGAGGGCAGGAGCAGGCCCTGGAGAAGCGCTAGCTGGGCCGGCCGCGCCACCACGTACTGTGGGGAGACGCCTGGTCAGGCCGAGCCCTGCGCCGCCGTTCCCACCCTCCGCCCGGACCCTGGCCGCTAGGGGGCGTGGCCAGAGGCCGCGGCCCCCTCCCCCTCGGCTCTGCAAGGGGCACCAAGGAATGGCCTTGGCGGAGGGTGTTGCGGCTTTGGCTTCCCACCTCGTAGCCGAAGGTCAAGGCCATAATTGTAATAAGCAATCCAAAAAAGGCTTCCAGCTTCCGCAACCCTAGGGGGAAAGCCAACAACAACAACAAAAATTGGAATGTAAGCGATTATTAATGGCTAATACCTTGGGCACTTTGTTCTAGGCACCGTGTCAAGTGCTTCACAGATATGACCTCAGTGAATCCTCACCACAGCCCTGTGACGTTTGTGCTATTATTATCCCCATGGTATAGATGGAGAAACCCAAGTCCAAGTAACTTGCTCAAGGCCACACAGCCAGAGGGAGGGGGCCGAGAGTCTTTGTCTCCTCTCAGTACAGCAGAGCATGGTTTATACACTCACTTGTTCCCCCCGCCCGGTCCCCTGTGAGGGCCACACCCACCGTAGTTGTCAAGGAAGAGGAAGAAGAAGGTGTCCACGATGGTGATGAGGACGCCGCCCCAGAGTGGGATTCTGAAACCGGAGTGGCCGGGGTCAGCCCAGCCTGGTGCAGGGGTCTGGAACTCCCACCCCCAGGGCAGGAGACTGGAATCTGGCCCCCTGGGAGCAGGGCCCCACGTGGTGGCCCCAGGCAGCGAAGGGAGAGGGGAGCGGGAGTGTGTTGGAGCCCGGAGAAATGGCACAAAACGTAGGGAAGGGCCCAGCTGGGTGGGGGACCAGCCTGGGGCTGCAGTCCCGGGGTCCGCTTGGCGAAGCCCGCCTGGTGACCGGTGTCTGTGTGACTTTAGATGAGTCACTTCACGTTTCTGGGTCTCTCAGAATTTCAGCATCTCTCAGATGCCCCCCAGCCGGCAACACAGCACAACAGCTCTAAGTCAGAGGGGACTGCGGGGTGAAAGGGACTCAGGGAAGTATGAAGCCCTGGACTGGAGAGTTGGGGCCCACTGGGGGCAGTACCGTCCAGCTGAGAGCAGACTGAACGCGATGGCCGTGCCGATGACCTCCTGCATGTCCGAGCCCACTATGGCTAGCTCGATGGTCAGCCAGAGGAGGGTGCGGGGCACCTGCGGGGAGGAGGTAACTCTTCACCAACGTTGGGCCAGTTGTCCTTGATGCCCCATGTCCTTGATGGCTTTCTATACCCGGCACTATCCTGTTGGGCTGGCAGCCTGCACGAGACCCCTGCCGGCCTCGCCTGCTGGCTTCCACTTAGGTTTTGTAGGAAACAATTGAGGGAGAACGAAAGGCAGGGAGAGATCATTTTTCCCCCCTATTTCTAGTGGTGTTCCCAGCAGTGGTGCCGGCAAGGGCACCAGGCAGCCTGGCTCTCTCGGTATTGGTGGCCATTTCGACAGTGGTGGTCGTGCTTCCAGAAGCTTGGCAGCAAATGATGGCTCTTGGGCAGCTGCCCAGCAGCTTTCTGATCTCTGGGTAACACCCCTTTCCTTGCTCCTCCAGCCCTTCCAATACCTTTGTGACTGCATCCCTGCATTAAATACCTTTGAAATCCCTTGTGGCATGGTTTCTGTTTTTCCCGCCTGGACACTCACAGCAGGGAAGTCCCCGGTGTCCACCCCAGCCAATGACCATCTCAAGCCAATGCCTGCCTAGTTTGCACCTTGGGCAAGTCACTTTCCCAGGTTTCAATGTCCCCTCCTGTAAAACAAGCAGGGATCTCTAACGTCCCTCTCAGTCTGTGAACCATTAGTTTGAGCATCAGTCTTCCCATCTATCAAACGGACTTGTGAGGCTCTGCTTGAGATGATGTGTTTATTTGATCATGGACGCTGTAAATAGCTGTTTGGGGCTTGGGGTCTGTGGGTGCTCCCTGTCCAGGCCCTCCAAGCTCACCTTAGGGTAGTAGAGGCGGCAGACCTCGCCCAAGTCCTTGCCTGTCACGGTGCCCAGCCGGGCAGCAAGCCGCTGACAGAGCAGGCCCAGCACGGTGGCCCACAGCAGCACCCAGAGCAGCTGCAGGGAGGCAGGGGGAGGCCTTCAGTGTGGGGGATGCTGTCTGACAACCCCAAGCTGCCGCTGGTACCCCTCTAACCAAGCACACCCCTTGGGGACAGAGTAGAGGAGACGGAGCGAGAAGACCAACACTCCCCCCCTCCCCCACACACACTCTGGCAGGGCAGCCCTGAGGACCCTTTTCAGGCCCATTTGAACTTGATGCCTGCTCCCCCCAACACCGGCCATGCAGTCCACTCTGGGGAAATGTGGCAAGTTGAGGGGTCTCCGCCCTCCCCAGGGTGCCCCGACTCAATCACTTTGAATCCAGCCACGGCACCAGCCTGAAGATCCGACTCAATGTTTCCTGGGTCCAGGAAAGCGATGCTCATGAGGAAGCCAGGCCCCGTGAAGGCCCATAGCTTCCTCAGGCTGAATGCGCCCTGTGGGTGGGAGTGAAGCGAGGAGATGCTGGGTAGAGGGGTGGTAGCAATGGGCCTTGGCCCGCCCCCCCCGAACCCCCTCTGGGCTCATCAGCCCAGGCTGTCTGGTCCTGGCCTCTCCTTTCCCCCCATTCCTGGAGCTACCACCCCTGGGGGTTCGTGGAGGGTGTGGGGTGGGAGGAAGCAACAGGATCTGCTGAGTCATAGTAGATCTGCTTTCTGGATCTGTCCAATTTGGCAACCGGCCTACAACCGACCAGTCTGCCTCAAGCTTGCCCTGACTCAGTAGATCCTCAGAGGCCAGAGGGGGTCTTTTCTGGGGTCAAGCCTCCCTGGTCCTGCTCCTCCTTCCCCAGTTCCTTCTCAAACCACAGTCCCTCCTCTCTGGAGTCCACTGAGCCTCGGGTCTCCCCACCCCATTCCAGGGCTAGGGCTGGCAGCCTGAGGATCTGCTAAAGATTCTGGAAGTTCAGGCCGACAGCATCCTAGAAAACAGCCTGCAGTTCCCGTCACTTCTCCGGATGCGCTCGAGCTGGTCCTTTCCTTTAATACTACAACAAATCCTTGAGTCTCCAGCCTGAGCTCCCCCCAGGCCCCTTTCCCTCTGTAAGAAAGCTGAGATTCATTCAGAAAGCCGCTTGATCATTTTTAGACAAAACCTGAGCTCCCCAGTCAAGTGCTAAGGATGGAAGCAGGAGAAGGGCAGTCGCCACTGCCAGTCACTGCTGCTCAGAGCTGGAAGGGACTTGCCATGGTCTTCTGGAGCCCTCTTCCCCCCAGCCTGTGAGATCCGATAGCATGCTGTCAGTCCTGAAAGACCCCAGGAAGTTTCCAGCATTCCTACCGGTTTTGTGTCAGGGATGGGGATCTTCTCACTCAGGTAAGTTGTTCTGAGAGGTTCTTGCTGTGGCTCTGAGCTGGGTGGGCTGGAGATGGAGCCATAGTTGGGCCTGCTTAGACTTTGAGGGTTCTTGTCACCTGCAAAGGGCCCCAAGGAGGCATGGTGACTGACTGGTTTCTTTCTGGTGGCCCAAAGCTAAAGTCCTCTGTTCTCCTCCCCTACAGCCTTCTGGCAAAGTGGAGAAATTAAGGCCCAAGTAAACAGGAGCCCTTGGCTCCCATCTTGGGTCCATCACCTCCACCCTTTGACTAAATGTTTCAAGATTTAATTAATTTAATTAATTTGTTAATTAATTAATTTTTTTGAGAGAAAGAGCAAGCATGCACAAGGAGGAGGAAGAGAGGGACGAGGGGGAGAGAGAATCTCAAGCAGATTCCACGCTGGGCATGGAGCCCAATCTGGAGCTCAGTCTCACGACCCTGAGATCACGACCTGAGCTGAAATCAGGAGTCAGACGCTTAGATGACTGAGCCCCCCAGGCGCCCTGATTGACCAAATGTTTCAGAAGACATGTGGGAATACAGCTTCTAGAATAACTCTCCTTCCATGTGGGCACAAAAATTCCCAAATCTACATCTCTCCTGCCACAAAGGATGCAGAGGGGGACACCGGACTCTGAGGAGGGCATACTGATGCCAATGTGTAAGCCCCGTGGCCTCACTCCTGCCTCCTCCACCAGCCAGGTAAACTCCAGGAGCTCCAAACGCACAGAGAACAGACAAAGGGGATGCTGTGCACTTGCGGATGCAAAGAGCCCAACCCCAGACTGGTGTCTGGAGTTAGGTCAAGACCAGGATGCCCACTGGGGATCAGGGGGTTCCTTTGCCTCCTCCCAACCCCCTTTTACGACTCTGACCCTGGAGGGGCTACTCACCTGTCATGAGGATGGCAGACTCAAGCACTCTGCGTGTGAGTGGGATGTTAGCAGCCACTCAGCACACACGCTCCCTCTCTGAGGGCTGGAGCATATCAGTGTGCAAGGCCACACCCTCCTATCCATCCTCAGCTGATCTCAGCAGTCCTCACATACATTGTGAAACACTTTCCAAAGGCAGAAGTGGCCGCTCTGGCGGAAGAGTCTTGTTGACCAAAATGCAAGAACTTTCTTTCCTCCTGGCCCGAGGCTCACAACACTTTTGGCCCCCTTCCAGGTGCCATACATTCTGTGGCTCCCAAGTTAGCTCTGATTTCAAGACATTTCCTGCTGCGTGGGTGTTCATGTCCAGATCACATGACCCCCCTGCCCCCACACAAGCAGTCAGGCCCTTCTCTTCAGTCTGGAGTCCCCGGCAATGGGAGTCCTGATGGCTAACAGGCCTCAGTTTCCTATTGAGTGCCTCAGAGGAGAAGACCTTCGGGCACCGCGACGGGGACAAGCCCTGATGACTCAGGCCAAGGAGAGCTTCCGAAGAAGGAGGCACTGGAACTCTGGTCCCGATTCTGCCATTGATTCACTTGAGATTGTCACCAGGCCGTCCCTTTCTCTGAACTTGGTTCTTCTGTTACATGAAGGGCTCAGACAAGCTAAGAGGTCAAAACAGTAGGTGCCCAAGAAGGCCAGGCAGGTCAGATAAACTAGGAGACAGGTGAGGAGTAAGAAAGCAGTGCCAGCTCAGTGTTCAACGACGAATGATGCCAAGCCTCAGTATCAGCGAGTAACAGGGAGTGGTGGAGACTGTAGCAAAACAAAGGACACATACTCTGTCCAACGGGAACAGTACCTACAGAGTTCTAGCCAGTTGTCGTGTGGGAATGTGTGCCCACTCTCACCATGTCTTCTGATCTGTCAAGGATATTGGAAGATGTTGAATTTTGTTTTGTCTTTTTTTAAGATTTTATTTATTTATTCATAAGAGAGAGACAGAGACAGAGGGCGAAGCAGGCTCCCCGCTGAGCAGGGAACCCAATGAGGGATTCGATCCCGGGACCCTGGGATCATGACCTGAGCTGAAGGCAGACGCTTAACCATCTGAGCCACCCAGGTGCCCAGGACGATGTTGAGTTTTATGCAACATATGCCTCTTGAATCTTAGGCTCAAAAAAATTGAAAATATTGTGTAATTTAAACAAAATATTCCTTTAGGCTAGCTTCCACTTGAGGGTTATCGGTCTGTATCTGGATGAATGGGGGGTAAGACTCTTCAGTTCCTGATTGCTTCTCCTTGTCTGTCCTGTGTCCCCACTGCTGCCCTCCCTTAAGAGGGAAGTGAGGCTCAGTCATGAACCTCAGAAAAGCTCCATGCTTCTCTTTCCCATGCCCACTCCTGATCTCTATCCTGTGGCCTTCCTTTTCTGCCAAGAAGATTCAAAACCAATCTTTGGGGTTTCCAGCGCCAAGGTCTAAGACCTCAGGATCCAGGGAAAACAGGTGCAAGCTCTGGGGCCCAGCTCTGAACAGGGATACGATGTATCCCCATGTTGAGGCAAACACTTTAGCTAAAGCTTGGGATCTGGATGGGGAATGCTGGCAACCAATTTCCTGGCTCCTCATGGATGGGGGAGGTTGGAGGGACCGGAGAAGAGGGGGTGTGGGAAGAAGAGTGAATGTTAGGTCATAAGGGAGACGGGAAAGTCATGGTTTGTCACTGTGCAATCCAGTTGTTCCTCGTGCCGCCACCGTCTCAAGTTCCTTAATCACTACCTTGGGCTCATGTGGGGTCGGCTGGGGTAGGATGTTGTGATGATTAATTTTATTGTCAATTTGGCAGGGTTACAGTGTGCCCAGATACTTGGTCAAATATTCAGGGTGTGTTGGTGAAGGGGTGTGTATTTTTGGAGGAGATTAACATTGGAATCCACAGGCTGAGTACAGCACATTTCTCTCCCTAATGAGGGTGGGCCTCATCCAACCAATTGAACAGAACAAAGGACTGAGTAAGGGAGAGTTCACTCTCTCTGCCTATCTTTTTTTTTTTTTTAAGATTTTATTTATTTATTTGACAAAGAGAGACACACGGCAAGAGAGGGAACATAAGCAGGGGGAGTGGGAGAGGGAGAAGCAGGCTCCCCGTGGAGCAGAGAGCCCGATGTGGAGCTCGATCCCAGGACCCTGGGATCATGACCTGAGCTAAAGGCAGACGCTTAACGACTGAGCCACCCAGGTGCCCCTCTCTGCCTATCTTTGAACTGAGATATTGGTCTTCTCTTGCCTTCAGCCTTGGCTGGGACTGAACTTAGACCATTATCTCTCCTGCTTCTTAGGCCTTCAGACTTAGACTGGAATTACATGTACCATCAGCTCTCCTGGGGCTCCAGCTTGCAGATCTTGGGACTCCTCAGCCTCCATACTCATGTGAACAATTCCTTAGTATTTACCTATCTATCTGTCTGTATTTTCTATTGGTTCTGTTTCTCTGGAGAACCCTAAGACAGAAGTCGTCCTCTTTGCATCTTTTGTGGAGTTTTGCCTGGACTCAGTAAGTGTAATTAATTAATGACTGATCAGTACCTGCACAACCTCTGCCTTACAGAAGAGGCAGTACAGTGCAATGGTTAAGAGCAGAGCTTCCTGGCAGAGTATCAGCAGGTAGGAGGCTACTAAGCTAGGGCTCCAGAAATCTGCATGGCAACCCCCTTGGATCTGGAGGTGTTGCTGAATACTAAAGCCTGCACATACAAGGTGAGCTTTCATGAAGCCCAATTCTCTCAAAATGGGTCACAGACTTAAAAGTAAATATAAAACTATAAAATTTTTAGAAAAACAAGTCAGAGAAAATCTTCAGTATCTAGGACTAGACAAAGGCTTGTTAGACTCAACACCAAAAGCATGATCCATAAAAGAAAAAATTGATAAATCAGACCTCATCAAAATTACCAACATTTGTTCTGTGAAGGACCCTTTTAAGAAGATGAAAAGACGCACTAAGGACTCAGAGAAAATATTTGCAAACCACATATCTGACAAAGGACCAGTATCTAGAAATAGAAAAATCTCTTACCACTCAACAGTGAAAAACCAAGCAATCCAGTTAGAAATGGGCAAAAACCAAGAACAGACATTTCACCAAATAGGATGTACAGATGGACATCCTATGTACATGGAAATATGTTCTGCATCATTGGCCATTAGGGAAATGCAAATTAGAATCCTAATGAGTTATTGCTACACCCTATCAGAGTGGTTAAAAGAAAAAACGGTCACAATACCAAATATTGACAAGGATGTGGAGAAACTAGATCACTCGTATGTTACTGGCTGGAAGGTAAAATGGCACAGCCGCTCTGGAAATAGTTTGGGAATTTCTTAAAAAAACTAAAGATGCAACTACCATATGATCTAGCAACTGCACTCCTAAGCATTTTTTCCCAGAGAAATGGTTCATATTCACCCAAACACTGCACACAATTTTTTTTAGCAGCTTTATTCATAATAGCCCAAATTGGAAGCAACCCACATTGTCCTTTACTAGGTGAATGGTTAAGCAAACTATAGTATATCTATACCAGAGAATATACTGCTGGGCATTTATCCCAGAGAAACTAAAACGTATGTTCACACAAAAATCTGTATGCAAGTTGCAGCTTTATTTGTAATAGTCAAAAACTAGAATTAGCCCAGATGTCCTTCAACAGGAGAATGGTTACACTAACTGCTGTACAGACCATGGATTACAACTCCTCGGTAAAAGAAACAAACTATACATACACACAATGATTTCGATGAATCTCCTGGGAAATTATGCTGAGTGAAAAAAGTGTATCTCAAGAGGTTACATCCTGTATTGTTCCATTTACAGGACATTTTTGCAATGACAAAGTTTTGAAAGTGAATGTCAGAGTAGTGGCCACCAGCGGGTATTGGTGGAGGGTAGAGAGGGAGGTGGGTGTGACTGTGGAAGGGTAACTTGAAAGATCCTTTTGGTGTTGGAGCTGTTCAAGTATCTTGACCTTGGTGCTGGATCCACAAACCTACACACGTGATAAAATTGTATAGAACTTAGCACACACACACATACACACACACACACACACGAGTACAGATAAAACAGGAAATCTGAAATAGGTGAATGGATTATGTCAATGTCAATATCCTGGTTGTACTGAAAGCAGGGATTTAAACAGATACTTGACACCCATGTTCATAGCAACAGTTTCCACAAAAGCCAAAAGCCAACAACAGCCCAAATGTTCATCAACAGATGAATAAACAATATGTGGTCTATCCATACAATGGATTATTATTCAGCCTCAAAAAGGAATGAGAGTCTGGGGGCTCCTGGGTGGCTCAGTCAGTTGAGCGTCTGACTCTTAGTTTCAGCTCAGGTCATGACCTCAGGGTTGTGGGATTGAGCCCCACATTGTGATCCGTGCTCAGCAGGGAGTCTGCTTGGAATTCTCGCTCTCCCTCTCTCTCTGCCCCTCCCCCCCACTCACTCTAAAGTAAATAAAAATAAGTCTTTGAAAAAAGGGGGGGGAATGAAAGCCTGATACAGGCTATAACATGGATGAGTCTCGAAAACTTTATGAGAAGTGAAATAAGCCAGACACCAAAGGACAAGCATTGTATGATTCCACTTATATGAGTTTCTCAGAACAAATTTATAGAAACAGAAGGTAGAAAGATGAGTTCCGGGAGCTAGGGGAAGGGAGAAGGGGAAGTTACTGTTCAATGGGTATAGAGTTTAGTTGAGGACGATAACAATGTTCCGGAAATGGATGATGGTGATGGTTGCACAACAGTGTGAATATCCTCAGTGTCACTGAATTATACACCCAAAGATGGTTAAAAGGGTTAATTTTATGTATATTTTGCCACCCCCCAAAAAGGTGGGAAAAAAAAATCCTGGCTATAATATTGTATAATAGGACTGTAAGATGTTAGCACTGGGGGGGGAGCGTACATGAGATCTCTCTCAATTTTTTCCTACCGCTACGTGTGAATCTGCAATTAGCTCAATATTTAAAATAGAGGAAAAAGATGGGTTTTATTGAATGGATATCATACTTCCATAACATTGATTGAAAAACACCACCAACAACCACCCACCAGAGCTTCTGGAATCAAATGGCCTGGGCTTGAATCTGACTTTTACTAGTTCTGTGATACAGGCAAGTTTCCTAGGCCCTAGTTTCCTCACCTGGAAAGTGGGGATAATAAGAGTACTTACCCCAAAGTGTGTTTGTGAAGCCCAAGAAATGCACCTAGCACTCTGCAGCCGGTTGCTTTTATAAATGGGTTTCCAAAATGTCGCCGGCCACCGTCAATCCTTTGGCACCTCAGATGCATTTTCTGCTACTAACATTGCAGCCGCTGGTGGTTGGGTGCCCACATTTGCCCACTCAAGCCTTTGGATTCAGCGCAGCTCAAACAGGGGAAATTTGTGAGGATGGGCTAACGGGACAGTTGTATGCAATATCTCATAAAACAAAATGAGGAAACCATCAAACTGAACAAGAACAGGTTTTATCACAGATGCTGGTGTTGGGGGAACAGCCGATTCAACCAAAGGCAGGGAGGCGCACAAGAGAGTCAGAAGGCCACATCTGCACCTTCCAAGGACGTTATGAGCCCTGGGGTTAGAGTCTGTTGTCCAATGTCTAAATGTAAGACTTTTCTTGTGGGGCTCCATCTGTCTGTAGCTTCGCTCTTAGTTTATCAGCTCACCTACGGCTTCTTGTGGGAGGGAAGAAAACACACAGGCAGGCATGTGGGCATTTGCCTGACCCACTCCAGGGTCTTTCAGTCTCCTGGATGGCAGGCAGCGCTTCCATTGGGTTCCCAGACCCTCCACCATCCCATCCTGAACCCCTTGCAGTAGCTAAAACATTCCAAGCTCCCTCCCTCTCACCTCCAGGACTCTGCATATGCTGCTTCCTCCTCAAACATCCCCCACACCCTTTGCCTGGCAAACAGCCTTTTGTCCTTCAGGCTGCAGCTCTGGTGTGACCTCTTCTGGGAAGCCTTCTTTGACTTCCCCAGGCCCAGGCTGTGTGCTCCCTCAGCACAATGCCCTTCCCATGCAACTCAGCTGGGAGGCTGCCACCAGGGATAGTGCAGTAGGGAATGGGCAGTTTCTGGGTGCTTGAGGAAGGAGAAAGACAGTGTACAGTCAAGCCTACTTTGGAAGTATCTAAAGCAGGAAGATGCCTCATCTCTGTTCTGGGATCTGTCTCCAGAGAGCCATACCTGATCTGTTTATCAGAGTGAATTTACACATGTATTCGAGCCAGATGCCCTGAATCCAAATCCTGGCTCTGCCACTAGCCAGTTGCATGGTCTTGGCCTTAACCTTTCCCTCATTTGTGAAATGGGTACAGTAATAGAACTGACCTAGCAGGGGTGTTGTGAGAATCATATGAATTACCATATTTAGAGGGATTAAAATAATAAGGGCTATCTAGCACTTGCTGTTATTGTTATTGTTGTTCATTTCCCTCTGCCTCCCTGGGCTCCCACGCCAGGTCAAGTGCACATTTAACACTCTACTGTTGCATGTATACATTTCCTTCTTAGCTCTTTTCATGTTCTGCACTCACACATTCATTCATGGGGTCCTCGACTAATGTCTCTTCTCTTCTAGGCTGACTGTGTGCCATGCGGGTAGGGCCGGGCCCTGATGCTCCCACAGCAAGTCGCCAGCTCCAAGGGAGCTCAGCAGAGGAACGATCTCAGTGGGTCAGATGTCACTGCCCTTCCGGAGCATCGGGGACTGGACACGACTCTCCAGATCTTTGTGGAGTGTTCTGGTTGTGCTGGGCTGAGCAGTTTGTGTTTCAGTTCTCCACACATGAAGTGAACTTGCCAGGGCCTGGGGGACCCTCTGTGACTCAGCCCTGCCTACCTCACGATGACTGAGCATACTAGTACTCCAGCCTTTCCGGCCTTCTGAGTGCAACATGCTCAAGAGCCCTTGTGCTTGCTGTTCCCTCTGCCTAGAATGCTTTTCCCACAGCTCTCCACAGGTCTGACTCCTTGGCATTCATTCAGGTCCCGGTCCAACTGAGATGCCAGGAAGGCCCTCCTTGAAATCTCCACCCTCAACCCTTCAACCCTGAGTCACTGTCTATCCATGACTTGACTTTTTTTTTCCCCATAAAAGTCTGAAATTGCCCATATGAAATGATTTCTTGTGTTTACTATCTCCCCGTGCAACCAGTAAGCATCATGAGGACAGGAACTTTGTCCTGTCACCGCTGATCTCCCACTGCCCAGAAGGATCCTGGCACATGGAAGGGACCCCATATTTGTTGAGCTGAGTGCCAGGCTGAATGGAGAGACCTTACTCTCTGAGAGAGCTGTTGCTGTCCGATTTGGCAGCCACTGCCACATGTGGCCAGATTAAAATTAAAATTAAGGTAAAACTCCAGTTCCTCAGTCATATGAACCACATTTCTAGCACTCAGTGGCCACATATGACTAATGGCTACCATATTGGACATAGCAGATACAGACCATTTCCATCACTGCGGGAAGATCTGTGGCATTCAGTTGCTCTAGACCAGAAACACACATTGCACTTTCCTACCTTTACTCTTCACTCATGTCATTTTCTCTGCCTGGAATGCTTTATCTGATCCTTAATAAAAATCCTACACGTGTAGAATTTGGGAATGCTAAAACAAACAAACAAACAAAAGCCTTAAGATCAATTCAGCAATTACACCTCTGAGAATGTATCCTTCAGTAAATAATTGTTGATACATGGGAAGATTTAGCTACAGAGATGTTCAATGCAGCACTGTTTATAGTAGCCACCCCCCCCAAAAAAACAGACAAAAAGCTAGCAGTGGGGAGAGATTGGTTAAATTATGGTAGAGCCATTTGGGGCGCCTGGGTGTCTCAGTCCATTAATTGGCCAACTGTTGATTTTGGCTCATGATCTCAGGGCCCAGGGATGGAGCCTCAAGACTGGCTCTGTGCTCCGCGGGGAGTCAGCTTGAGGATTCTCCCTCTCCCTCTGCCCCCTGCCCCCGTGTTCTCTATCTCTCTCTAAAATAAATAAATCTTTTAAAAAATTATGGTAGAGCCATCAAAAATAGAGGACTGTATAATGCCATGGAACTCTTTCAAAATATATTGTTAAACGAAAGAAAGCCAGTTATAATACAGGAAAAAAGTTACAAAACATGAGGAGTTTGGGGCTAGAAGTTTCCAGCTTTATCTGTAATGTTTGAAATTTTAAAAAATATAATTAAGTATATAATTATCAGTTAATGAGCATGTATTACTATATGATTTCATTTTTGTTTAAAAGAAGTCCCTTGGAGTTTTAAAGACAGATCAAACATTCTTATATAAAAGTGCTTGACATGGGGCACCTGGCTGGCTTGGTCAGAAGAGCACGTGACTCTTGATCTTGGGGTCATGAGTTTGAACACCACATTGGGTGTAGAGATTTCTTTAAAAAGGAATTTTTAAAAAAGTGCTTAACAGGAAGCTAATATAATATTGTATCGCAACTATTCTTCAAAAATTAAAAAAAAGGCAATGTTAAGACAGTAAACAAAAAACTTCTTGACAGAGTAAATGCTGAACAAACATGGGCCACTTTTATGCATCAAAAAAAGAGTAAAGAGCATATTTGCCAAAATGTTAAGAGCAGCAGCCTATAGTTTGAGAAATTGGGGTGAATTCACTTTCTTCTTTTGGTTTAACCCCCTTTTCTCAGTTTTCTCTAGTGAAGATGCATTTCTTTTGAAAGAAGGTTATGGGGACAATAAAAGATATTTTTAAAAATTCTTTAAGGCTCAACTCAAGCGATAGTTCTCCACAAGCCTTGCTGCCCTGAGTCCAGAGTCACGGCCGCCCTCATCACAAGGGGGAGCTTGGGCGGGGCGGGAGGGGGAGACCCTGCCGGGTCTCCTCAGCTGGAAGAGACGGGCCCATGAGTGCGAAAACGGAGGAATGGAGCCTGCACCCCCATTACCAGCTGTCCTGGAGAAGCTTGCCTAATATTTGCTGGTGAGCCGTGGCCAGCCCTGGGCAGAAACAAAGCCATTGGCCAGATTGACATTGTACAAGGAGCCTAAAGGAGCCGATGATCTCCTGCCTATCCTTTTTTCTCAGGGAGCCGGTAACTGGGGACCCTGCACGCAGTTTGGGGGTTCCTGTGTGTCACTGGAAAAGGAGATAGAGTGTGAGAACTGGCCGCCCACGTGTTTTGGGAGGCATCAGAAGTGATGAGCGAGGCCAGTGGGGATCCAGATCCCCCACCAGCCCCTGCTCTTTTTCTTGGTTGGGGGGTAGGGGTGGGGTGGAAGCGAAGTAATTTGGTTTATGCTTAGTGGCACCCAGAAGCCCTGCCCCTCTATCCCTACTAACCTAGTGACCGAGAGTGTGGGTTTCGGCATCAACGTCCAGGTTTGACTCCTGCTCGCTACGTACTAACTCTGTGAGTTACTTAACCTTTCCGCGCCTCTATTTTCTTATCCGTAAAATAGGACTGTTGATTACAGCATCTTGGAAGAAGCGTGAAATACGCTGGGTAAACTCTGTTAACAGTTCCTCTTTTTAGCCAAGACACAAGACTCTGGCCAGGGAAGGTTCCCGCGCCCACAGCAGAACCGCGGGGGTGGGGCCCATTTATTCCCCAAAGAACCCGCAGCTCGGAAGGCGCGCCTCGGGGGTGAGTCCCTCTGGTTCCCTGCTTCCTGGCCGGTCCCCGCACGCCGCGCGGGGCCGACCCTAGTGCGGCGGGCGCTTGGGGTCCAGCGAGCGGAAGGGGCTGGGCCGGTGGGAGGAGCGCAAGGCGGGGATTGGGGGCTGGCGCTTCGCGAAGGGGCCGAAGTACTCGGCGGCGAAGGTGACCACGTCTGGCGGCTGGCGCAGCAACAGGAAGAGCAGGAAATCCGAGATGAGCGCCTGGGCCTCGGGGTGCTGCCGCAGATAGCTGGTGTGGCTGAGACGGAGCTCCTCCTGGTGGGGACCGAGCCTGAGCGGGACCCGGGGACCCGGGACCCCGCGCCCCAGGAGCAGCCCCCTACCCCTTCGCTCTAAGGAGGGCCTCCCAGCCATCGGGATGTGCATTTCAAGCAGGCAGAAAGAGGGATCAGTGCTGGTGGAATTTACGCTCGGGGGGGTGGGGGGGAATGGGGACCCCAGGCTGGCTGCAGTCTCTCCTCACCTTCCGGTCCACGAACCTCGAGTAGAGTTCCATATCCTCCTCCCACACCAGGGGCCTCTTCTCAAATGCGGGGCCAGGCTCAGTCTCATCTGGGTGCGGAGGGAAGGAAGGCTGCACACCCTCACCCCAGAACCTTCCCCAGATACAGAGGGATGCCCAAGAATACTCAAATTGCAGTCATGGGTAGAGGCCCAGGGCTCGGCTTAGTTGCTGGAAGGGGTTCCCTGCAAAATGATCCTCCCCTAATTGCCTTGGGGTCAGGGGCTGGAGGGCAAAACTTCTCCATCTCCACTCAGTCCGGCCTCTGCACGCTGGAAGGTCCCAGGTTTTCCCACCCCTCCTTCACTCTGCGCCAGCCAGAGGCTTCACTCACCCTTCTCCCTCAAGATAGGCATCTGGGTGATCATGCAGTACCCGGGGCAACCCACCTGGATTCTCTTGGCCAGGTGCCTGGAATACAACACAGGTGTGAGAGTGGGAGTCTTCCCAGACCAGCCCACTCCCCTGAGAGCCATCCTGGGGGCTTCCCTTTGCTGTGGCTTCCCCCAACACTGCTTATCTCTGAGTTCCAGGGTCGTGTTCACTTCTGGGTCCCCAGATAACAGCCCCTGCTTTTCAAACTGGGTCTTGTCCATGCCCTTGGAGATGTGTGCTGGGTGCACTAAAAAAATCATGAGCCTCTAGCTATGTGACACCCAAAATCGAAACAACATGCTAAGTTATCAAATAAGGAAAGCCAACAATGTTCTGATTACTTTTTTCCCAGTGTAATGATTATATCAATACCTCTTTGGAAATTTCAAGAAACAAATTCTTCACCCCTTCCTCCCCAATTTTCTCATGTTTTGGGGTCTGTGTCCCACTGGTGACAGCTTGGCCGTGTGCCAGGATGTCCCTCCCCCCCCCCCAACGCACATTGATTCTATCAAGTGTCAAGTTGTTCAAACCTCGGTGCTTTTTGGTATTATACCCAGCTGTGGCAGATGCTTAGCTACTGTGCCTTAGGCTTGTGGGGTCAGCATTGACTTTCTGAGCCATTCAGGGCTCCTGGTGAGGTCTGGGAGTTACGGTACACATCAGGTGAATGCATTGGGCCCGGATTGGCCATGGTATGAATCAGGAGTAAAAATATGTGAAGAAAGAGCGGATGTGGATCAAGCAAGGGGGCACTCTTTCTGGTGGTGTCCCCAGAGACAGTAGTCTCCCTTTGCCCCATGTCTGCCCCCAGGATCCAGCACCCAGGCTTGTGTTCCACACTGCCCCCTAGCGCCCACTGTCAGTAGCTCACCCATCCGAGAGCAGGTAGAACTGGCAGGAATTGGGGATGCCTTTAACTGAGTGGACAGTCTGCTCCACGATGAACACTTCCACCTGCTGGCGGCCCACCTGGATCTTCTGGAAGCCCAGATCTTGCTGGCAGCGGCCAAGATAGAGGGAGGGAGGTGAGGCGGATGCCCACCAGGATCTCCCCCAAATCTCACCCTGGCCCTTTTCTCCATCTTGCCGCTTCATTCTTTATCAGTGATAAGCAACCTTCAGCTGTACAGGCCCTCAGCCGCCACAGGATTTGAGTTGCACCCCCAAGTTAAGTGGGGGTCCCCTCATAGAAAGCCAGGTCCATGCTGCTCGTGCCCCAACTCCCCTCATCATCTTGATGACCAAGTGCTTCCGGTTGGCAGATTGAGTTACAGGGATGAGGATCAACCAAGGTGTGAGCCTGGGGGGCAGGGAGCGTGGGGGGGGCAGCGATGCTCTGAGGAGGGGGCTAGATTGCCATCTGTGGCCGCCTCAGGCCCCTGCTGCTGCAGGCAGGCTGCCCTGTTGTCGTTAGAACTTAAAAAGCCTAGAGCAGCTGTGGCCGCGGGCAGAAAAGCGTGAATATAAGACATGTGTTTCAAAAGAAGATGGGGGAAGTGACATGGGCCTGTTTGTGTCAAACACATTGCCGTTTGTCATGTTTGTGATAGAAAAGACTAGAATGTCATTTACAAAGTTGGTCAAATCAGCCCCCAAAATGTGTGTTTAGAGGTATAGCTTTAAAATCTCACATCGCAGGAAGTCCTAGGTATGTTGATTATGAAGTTTTAGCCACAAGTAAAAAAAAAAAAAAAAAAAAAAAAAGGAACACCTTTCAGGTCTGAGACATAATAAAAGAACATAATAAAAGTGCCATTGGAAATGGTGCATTTCCTGATGTTAAAAAAATCTGTCTTTATGGGATGCCTGGGTGGCTCAGTTGGTTAAGCGGCTGCCTTCGGCCCGGGTCATGATATGAGGGTCCTGGGATCGAGTCCCACATCGGGCTCCTTGCTCAGCAGGGAGCCTGCCTCTCCCTCTCTCTCCCTCTGCTTGTGCTCTCTCTGTCAAATAAAGAAAATCTTTAAAAAAAAAAATCTGTCTTTAAAAGCAGCCCTCCACTATGTTTATTTTTCCTGGACTGACGTCTGGGCAAAAAACATTGCTTCTCAACTGCTCCCCGCTTTGGTTCCTCTTTTTCCCACCACCTGCCCCCCACGTGATTTTCCAACACATGAAGTCTTGCCTTCTCCTGCCCTTGGAAGTCCCCCCCCCCCCCGGGGCCCCACAGCCCACCCCCTCTTCCACCCCAAAGCTGTCTTTTCTCCCACCTCAGCGGCCTCCGTAGTGCCCCTTCTGTTTTTCCCCAGGCCAAGTCCCCCACCCAGGGAGAGGCCTCACGTAAGTGGAGTAGCAGAATTTGCCCTCCGTGTCCAAGGCCAGGAAACGGGCGCTGCTGGGCACGGTCTGCCGCCAGGCCATCACCCTCAGCAACACCAGGTTGGCAGCCTCGGAGATGAAGCCCACGGTTGAGCTCTCCGGGACAAAAGTCACTTCGGTCTTGACTTCCTGTTCAGGAAAAATCTGGGTCAGGGACATCGATCTGGGAAGGGGTGGGGAGGGAGGACGGGGAAGCCAGGTATTGGGCACATATAGGGTCCTTGCTGAGTCCCCATGCCAGGCTCCCGGCCTGACACAATCTGGCCCCTGCTCTTGCCTTCGGTGAGGATGCGGGGCACGGCCCCTACCTGTCTCTCACCCTTACCTCACCCTCCTTGACCCTTCTGGTCACGGCCAGCTGGTCGTCCTGCTTCACCAAACTCATCTTCCGCTCCATGGGGAGGACGCGGAACTAAGGGCCAGAACACGGAGGGGAGAAGCGGGAACTTGAACAGCACCCCCCACAGGTCACCTTGCCCCTTCTCCTTTAGAAATGAGAAAACTGAGGGAAGTTTGGATAGAAAATCTTCCCTTTGTAGTGAAGTTCAAGAACAGAAGGCGTATTATGGTGTAATATAAAGGTAAAAAGCAAATGCCCCTCAGAATACAGGTTTTAAAAGATGGGAATGGTTTCTGTGGGAAGGTTCTTAGGCATGAGTGTTTTCCAATGTGTAATGCTGATCACGTTCCAGAAGTTAGTGAGGTGGCTGGGCCTGGGTGTGGGAGGCACAGAGCAGGAGAATTTGGAGGTGAGGGGGTGACAGGCCCTTGGGAAAGACCAGGCTCTGGGAAAGGCTGGCCTGCATGGCCCTCCGGGAGATGCTGGGCTCTCAGCCTGGAGGAGGCTCTGGGTGGACTGGACCCAGGGATCGTGTATTAGGAGAAGGTCACGAGAAGCAACATGCTGCCCTGGGTGGATTAGTTCCCAGGTTATGTGTGGTGGGGACTGCAGGGTAACTTGGAGAGAGTTAGGGGTGACATTCCACCGAGTCCCCCCTCCATTCTTCCCTCCCTCCCTCCCAGGGTCTCCACTCTCTCACCCCGGTTTGGGGGCCAGGCTGGGGGCCCCAGGAGGTACCTTGATGAACTCCTGACTACATTGCTCCATGATATGCAGGTTCCATGAGAGGTAGCCTGGGGCAGGAGGAGAACACTGCTGTCCCCATCACCCCGTCACCGGAGACAGGCCGGAAGACTGCAGGGTGGGAGGGCAGGGGCCCAGGCTGGAGGACTCAGGGGGACTGTGACCACAGGGAAAACTAAGTGGTGCTCTTGTCGTTAAGTCTGTGGCTGTGACCCCCACCTCCCACACACCCTCCTGGCTGCCTTCTGGTCCCAAGGTGAAGTCAAGGGTTGGTCTTGAGTGAAAGTCCTCGGAATGGGGACGGGATGGAGGGGAGGAAGGATGGAGGTGAAGCATCAGGCAGCAAGAACTTTACCCAGGAGGGAGTTTCCACAGAGCATTTTGTCCATGAAGCTGCGGCTAAAGGCGTGCACGAGGAGGCAGTGCGACATCACACCAGATTCGTCTGTGTAATTCCCTGTCTGCACCTCAATGATCAGCTCTCCCTGAGGCTCCCCCGTGTCTGAGACCATGGCCAGAGTTTCGGAGAATAGCAGCATCTGCAGCTCCTCCTGCTCTGGGGGTGGGGGGGGTCCCATGGGCACAGATAAAGCCCCAGCTCCTGGGCCTCGGCTCTCTGACCCTCCCCCCAGCAGGGCCACCCCCACCCCTTCTTCATCCCCCAGGTCCCAGGCAGCTCCTGGCTCCCTTCCCTTGGCCTGTACAACAGCCAGCAGGTGAAGACCCCGCCACCACCCCCAGTCCCCATGTCCTTGGGGTCTTCTCTTGACAATTATCAACAAATAGGGGCGCCTGGGTGGCTCAGTTGGTTAAGCGTCTGCCTTCGGTTCAGGTCTTGATCACAGGGTCCTGGGATCGTGTCCCGCACGGGGCTCTCTGCTTAGTGGGGATCTGCTTCTCCCTCTGTGCTCTCTCTCAAATAAATAAATAAATCTTTTATTTTTTTTAAAGATTCATTTATTTATTATTTTAGAGAGAGAGAGAGAGAGTGAGCACATGAGCAGGGGGAGGGGAGGGGCAGAAGGAGAGGGAGAGAGAATCTCAAGCAGACTCCCTGCTGAGCAGGGAGCCCTGCATGGGGATCTATCTCAGGACTCTGAGATCATAACCTGAACCAAAACCAAGAGTCAGATGCTTAACTGACTCAGCCACCCAGGTGCCCCAAATAAATAAATCTTTAAAAACGATTATCAGGGGCGCCTGGGTGGCTCAGTCGTTAAGCATCTGCCTTCAGTTCAGGTCATGATCCCAGGGTCCTGGGATCGAGCCCTGCATCGGGCTCCCTGCTCAGCGGGGAGCCTGCTTCTCCCTCTCCCTCTGCTGTTCCCCCTGCTTGGGTTCTGTCTCTTGCTGTGTCTCCCTCTGTCAAATAAATAAATAAAATCTTTTAAAAAAAGCAATTATCAAAAATAAATAAATACATAAATAAAAAGTAAAAACAGTTATCAGGGCGCCTGGGTCGCTCAGGCGGTTAAGCATCTGCCTTTGGCTCAGGTCATGATCTCAGGGTCCTGGGATCAAGCCCATGTCAGCCTCCTTGCTCAGCGAGGGGTCTGCTTCCCCCTCTCCCCTCTGCTCATGCTGTCTCTCATTATTTCTCTCTCTCTTTCGCAAATAAATACATAAAACCTTAAAAAAATACACGAAAAACAAAAAAACCTTTCTGTATTAAAAAAATATATATATGTATATATATATTTCAGTAGGCCTTGAACCCTGTCTGCATCCCAGGGGAATCAAGGCTGAGCGAGAGGGGGCCAGGTCTGGGCCTTCTCTCTTCCCTCCCCTTCACATCTGTGCCCCCCACACCCCCACTGTCCAGGCTCACTGAGGTTGCTGAGGAAGTGGATGGCTTCAGCATTGGCCTTTGGGGCTGGCAGATTCTCTTGGGCTGAGGGCTGGTGGTCCTTGGCTTTGGGGCCTAGAGAGGGAGGAGAGGCTGAGATGGCAACCTTGGGGAGAGGGACAGGGGTGGGACAGGTGTTGCCCAAAGCAGGATCCCCCAAGGCCATCCCAAGGAGGATTGTGAGGGAGAAGAGGGGAAGATGCCGCTCCGATTTCCAGTCCCAGCAGCCCTGTTCCCACCTGTGGATTGAAGTTTAGAGGACATGCTGCCGGCCTTCTGCTACTCCGGCTGTGTCCAGCTGTCTCCATGACAACCGGAAGCCAGCTACCGCCTCTTAAAGGGCCATCAACACACCTCACAAAACACCCAGACCTTGGAGGCAATGGTAGGAACTGTGGGCTTTGGAGCTCAGGCCATGCCTGAAGTATTGTCCTGCAGAGGGAGCATTTGACATGGCAGGGGGATGACATGGGTCATTAGAATGACCTTAGGGAGCGCCTGGCTGGCTCAGTCGGAGGAGCGTGTGACTCTTGATCTCGGAATCATGAGTTCGATCCCCATGTTGGGTGTAGAGATTACTAAATAATAATAATAATAATAATAATAATAATAATAATGATAATAAAGTGAGAAAGTTATGGCCCTGAGTCAGACATGGCCTCACATGGGTAGAACCCATTGAGAGCCACGTGTATAGGACCACATGTGAGAGTGATGCTGGTAACGATGACAATCCCAGCAAACCCTGAAGCCATGCTTACCATAGGCCCCGCACTGTTCTGGAGGGATGCACACACGTGATCTCATTCAGTATTCAAACCAAACCTGCAAGCAGGTCCTTTTTTTCCCTGCACTTTATGGCTGAGAAACCTGAGGCACCAAGAGGTTAAATGTCTTCCCAGGGTCACACAGCTGATAACAGTTGACCCTTGAACAGCATGGGTTTGGGCTGCCTGGGTGCACTTATATGCGGATGTTTTTCGGTAAATGTGGTACAGTACTGTAAATGTGTTTTCTCTTCCTTATGATTTCTTTTTTTTTTAAGGATTTTATTTATTTATTTAGAGAGGGGGGAGGGGTAGGGGGAGAGGGAGAGAGAGAATCTCAAGCAGACACGGGGCTCCATCCCACGACCCTGAGATCATGACCTGAGCCGAAATCAAGAGTCCGATGCTTAATCGACCGAGCCACTCAGGCAACCCTCTTCCTTATGACTTAATAACATTTTCTCTCTCTTACTTTATTGGTAGAACACCATATATAATAATAGAATATACAAAACACGTGTTAATCAACTGTTTTATGTTATCTGTAAGACTTTGGGTCAATAGTAGGCTATTAGTAGTTAAATTTGGGGGGAGTCAAAGTTATACCCGGCTTTTCTTTCTTTTTTAAAAATTTTTTCTTTTTTTTAAACACAATGTTCAGTTTTATTTTTTAAGTTTATTTATTTATTTAAGTAATGTCTAACCCAATGTGGGGCTCTAACTCATGATCCCAAGATCAAGAGTCACATGCTCCTCCCACTGAATCAGCCAGGTGCCCCTATGCCCAGATTTTCAACCGTGTCTGAAAGGGGGGAGTGTCGGCATGCCTAACCCCCATGTTGTTCAAGGGGGTTGAAGTATTGGCAGAGCCAGGACTCAACTCAAGCCAGTCTGGCTCCTAGAGATAATTCAAAGAAAAATGAAGCAGCAAATAGACAATACATTGAATCCAAACAAGCAGCTCTACAGCATGGGTAGTGATCAGTGCCAAAGACGAAAACTGAATTATGATAGGACTCAAACCCCACCTTGTAAGTTTTCAAGTCTGCATCATAGCGGCTATTAAAAGGGACTCAGCCTGACAGAGTCACAAAAAAAGAAAACTCTTGTTCAAAAACCTCAATCACTGAAGGAGCTGCCCCCCTTGCCCCCACCATAGCCCTCAGGAAGGTAATCTTCCAATGTCTTCTCATTAGGTAATTATCTATCAACTTTGGGAAGATTTAGAATTATGTGTAGAATTGCTTGAGACGATCGAACTAAAAATATTAATTTTTGTGTGTGTCATATTGTGCGTATTTGGTATTTCAAGGTCTTTAACATAATTTGGCATGGAAGCGTGCTTAAAAGATAAGTCTTGAGGGGCACTTGGGTGGCTCAGGCAGTTAAGCATCTGACTTCAGCTCAGGTCATGATCCCAGGGTCCTGGGTTGGAGCTGCACATTGGGCTCCCTGCTCAGCGGGGAGCTGGCTTCTCCCTCTCCCTCTGAGCACCCTCCCCCCCACCCCGGGCTCATAGTCTAGCTCTCTCTCTCTCCCAAATGAATAAATTAAAAAAATCTTAAAAAAAATAAAAAAAGAGAAGTCTTGAGATTCTAATTTACATCAGGCAGTTGAATGGCACCTGGCTGGCTCAGTCGTAAGAGGGTGGGACTCTTGATCTTGGTGCTTGTGGGTTCCAGCCCCATGTTGGATATAGAGATTACTTAAAAAAACAAATAAATAAAACAGAATCTTTAAAAATTAATAAATTGGGCGGTTGAATAATTGATTTAAACTGAACTCTGAAGTTAAATGCTTACTGGAATTGTAAGTAGAACCAAAACTTTTTTATTTTTTTATTTATTTTAAAGATTTTATTTATTTATTTGACAGAGAGAGAGACAGCGAGAGAGGGAACACAAGCAGGGGGAGTGGCAGAGAGAGAAGCAGACTCCCCGCTGAGCAGGTAGCCCGATGCTGGGCTCGATCCCAGGACCCTGGGATCATGACCTGAGCAGAAGGTAGACGCTTAACGACTGAGCCACCCAGACGCCCCCCAAAACATTTTTTTAAATCTTAAAATTAAAAAAATAAAATAAAAACCTTGAAATTTGCTTTATTTACTTATTTATTTATTTATTTATTTATAAGTAGGCTCCACACCCAGCATGGAGCCCAACGCGATTAAGACCTGAGCAGATATCAAGAGTTGGACACTCAACCGAGCCACCCAGGTGCCCCCAAATTTGCTGTATTTATATGTTTACTTTTAGTAGATTGCAGTAAAGTACTTGGGAGGCCGGTTTCTTTTTTTTTTTTTAAGATAATTGAATTATTTTTATTTTCCTTTACTTTGTTTCAGCTTTATGAGATATAATTGACATATAACAATCAATTCCTTTTAAAAAGGAGGTAGAAGATCTGGGATGAATAAATACAACATAAACTGCCTAGAGCAGTTGCACTTTTGAAAAGAGGACCAATTATTAATCAAAGCCTCCTTAAAAGTTATTATTAACATTTACTGGATTTATGATTAAAATATGACTGATAAGTTGAACTTAAAAGTTTAAAAAATGTTTATGTTTTAAAATTTGCAATTTAAGAAGCCGAGTATTAGTTTTTAAAATTTTATTTATTACTATTTTTTTAGTACGCTCTATGCCCACTGTGGGGCTTGAACTCATGACCTCAAGATCAAGAGTCGCATGCCTATGGATTGAGCTAGCCAGGTGCCCCCTAATTTTATTTACTTTTTAAATTTTATTTTGAGTATTAATTTTTAAAAGCCAAAGTGAATTCTGAAGAAGCCTTTCTCTGCATGTGAGAGACTGTCAATGGCATTAAGAAAACTCACTACTTTAGGAGGTAGTTTGTTAGTTCCTCAAAAAGTTAAATGTGGAGTTACTATATGACTCAGCAATTCCACTCCTAGGTCTATACCCAAGAGAACTGAAAACATCTGTCTGCACAAAAACCTGTACACAGATGTTCATAGCACCATAGCATCATTATTCATGATAGCCAGAAAGTGGAAAGAACCCATATGTCTGTCAACTAACGGATAAACAAAATGTGATGTATGTACACACAATGCAATATTATTCAACCGTAAGAAGAGTAAAGTACTGACAGATGCCAGAACATGAGACTTGAGAACAGGCCCAGTGAGAGGAGTTGGTCACAGAAGACCACGTATTGTCTGATGTCACATATGTGATTTGCGTAAACCTGTGGGGACAGAAAGCAGATCAGTGGTTGCCTGGTGTGGGTATGCAGAGGCACAGAGTGACATCAAATGGGCACTGGTTTTCTTTTTGGGATGATTGAAAATGTTCTAAAGTTAGATTGTGGCGCCCCTGGGTGGTGCAGATTAAGCTATTGACTCTTGGCTCAGGTCGTGATCTCAGGATCATGACAGGCGGGGATTGGATCTCAGGATCATGGAATCGAGCCCCACGTGGGGCTCCTCAATCAGCACAGAGTCTGGGTTTCTCTCTCTCTCTCCTCCCCCTGCCCCTCCCCCCTCCCCCCGAACACGTGCTTTATCTCTCTCTCTCTCAAATCAATAAGTCTTTTATTTGTTTTAAAGATTTTATTTATTTATTTGACAGAGGGAGACACAGCGAGATAGGGAACACAGCAGGGGGAGTGGGAGAGGGAAAAGCAGGCTTCCCACGGAGCAGGGAGCCCGATGTGGGGCTCGATGCCAGGACCCTGGGATCGTGACCTGAGCCGAAGGCAGATGCTTAACAACTGAGCCACCCAAGCGTTCCAATAAATAAATCTTTTAAAAAAATAAAATTAGATTGTGATGGTCACAAAATAGTGCATATACTCAAAACCACTGAGTTGTACGCTTTAAAAGGATGAATTTTGTGTTATGTAAATGACATCTTAATAAAGTTGTTAATAAAAGATAGATTTAAATAAGATCTATAAAAAGCATCCCCTATTGCTTTTGTATGTAAATTACATAAAGTTGGAAAAAACATTTTTGATTATTAGGACAAAGTTGGAAAAAAGAAGAAGCAAATTATGGCCTAGATGCTCTTTAAGGGGTGCCCATGTGGTTCCCTCCCTACTATGCACCCCCCTCCTGGCCTGAGGGTGGATTTGCTCCCAGAGCCCTTTACCCTTTAGAGTTTCCCCCCTCCCTCCTCCCCTCTCCTTGGTGAGGCCCCTGGAGCTGCACAGGACTCCCACCTGCGTGTCCACACAGGCTCCCATTCCTGAGAGCCCAGGTTCTTTCTCATCCGGCTCCCCCCCCAAGACCCCTTCCCGTTCATGCTGGCTGTTTCCTGCTAGGAGAGAAAGAAACGTGACAAAGTAGTTCACAGAAGGATCGACATCCAGTTTGTTAGTCCAATTTTTAAATCTCTATAAGAGATCTGCTACAGACCCTTGTTACCGTCCGCTCTTAGAGCCTGCTAGGCCAGGGGAGGGAAGCTCTGTAGCAGGTTGACCTACTAGCTGTGCAGTCATGTTGGGCAGGTTGGCCTCTCTGAACCTGTGACAGGCACAGCCAGTGTCCTCCCAGCCCCTGGGATCAGCACCTACAGAACCACAGCCACTAACGTGGAGAGGGCTCACGATGTGTCCAGCTCGGCAGGTATGAACTCACTCAATCGTCACAATCAGCTTCCACGGGGTACAAGCCATGCCCTCAGTGGACGCAGGAGAGACGGAGGCACAGAAAGGTTAAGTAACTTGCCCAAGGTCACCCGGTCAATAAATGGAAAGCGTGGGGGCACCTGGGTGGCTCAGTTAAGCGTCTGCCTTCGGCTCAGGTCATGATCCCGGAGTCCTGGGATCAAGCCCCTATGTCGGGCTCCCTGCTCAGCGGGAAGCCTGCTTCTCCCTCTCCCTCTGCTGCTCCCCCTGGCTCGTGCTCTCTCTCTTTCTAATAAATAAATAAAATCTTAAAAAAAATGGAAGGGTCCCAGATGGGCTGTCTCCAGAGTCCATATTCTTAATCAGTTTGTCCTACTGTACCTGAGGGACTGGCCCTCGTTTATTGGTAACAGTAAGAGGAGAGAGGTGGCTGTTCACTGAACACCACTGTGCATCTCACTTAGTTCTCCCAGTTGCTCTAGAACAGGGCTCGGTGACATGAGATGCCTGGCTGGTGTCACCCACGGTCAACCAGAGGCAGAACCTATATTCCTATCCAGACCCGTCCCTCTCCAAGTCCTCTCTCTGCCACCCTGTCCCATCTTATTATCAAACTATTATCTATCTATCTATCTATCTATCTATCTATCTATCTATCTATCTATCATCTATCCATCCATCCATCCATCCATCCATCCATCATCATCTATCATCTCCTTTTGTATTGGTTCTGTTCCTCTGAAGAACCCTAAGACAGATGTCTTTCTCTGCATCTTTTGTGGGGCTTTGTCTATAGTTAGGAACTCAGTAAGTGTAATTGCCTAGGGTTTACTGACCACCTAGGTTAGGTTTCTACCCACTTTCAAAGTCTCCGTGTGTGGCCAGGGCCTTGGAGGTCTAAGTCCACCCCCCCACACATAGGTAGGCACAGGGCTCCTCGAGATCACATGACAGCTCCCCTGGTCTTTGTTCCTCCCTGGAACGCTTGAGGCTGCCCACTTAGTGTCCTCCCTTTCTCCTTTCCTGCCCGTAGAGACAGTCTGTGATTCAGGAAAAAATGAATTGCTTGCTGGTTATTTTTAAAACTAGGTATTATTCAAATACCTTTGGGGCCACCTGTCTACCTCCATTTCTTCTATATAATGAGTTATAGCACCAGGAATCTGATGTAGCATTTTCCAAAGTGACTTCATATGCCCTTGCTCATCAGACTCTCCCAATAGCCTCTAATAAGTGGAATTGTTGGTGAACGTCAGTGATTTTAGGCCTTGCATCATTTCTGTTATCAGACCCCCTATTAGTCTGGGGGACGTTTTCCACAGCCTCAGCGCACCTTTCCGCTGGGTCTGACACTGCCCTTCCAAGTGTAGTCATGTGACCTAACCTGGCTGGTGAGAAGGGGTCCATTCCCCTAACTCCTGATTGGCTCAGGATTGGGCACATGACCCAAGCTGAACCAATGAAACTCAACCCTTGCGACTATTGGAGGTCCTGCTAGGTTTGATGAACCAACTAGTAGCCTGTAAGTCTAGAACTTACAGACATGATCTTTCCACTGCAGGGAGAAAGCCTGACAGAATGATACCAATGCAGAAGAAAGCTGAGCTGAATGATAAAATGGCCCTTTGAATCTGTGGATCCAGCGATGCCTGCAGTCACCAGGACATAATCTCCCACTTCTTAATTTCACCAGCCAATAAGTTTTCCTCTTGGTTTAAGTTCCTTAGTGTTGAGTATGGCACTTGTACCTGAAAGTGTTTTGACTCATTCAAGGTTGTCATCTCCACGGAAGGTGAAGAAACAGGTCAGGGAAGTGAAATTTGCCCAAGGTCACTTGGATGTTGCATGACAGAGCTGGGAATGGAACCGAAGTCTCTGAGGCCAGTGACACCTGCTGTCTTGTAAGCAAAGGGCAGGTAGCCTGGTTATTGCTGGTCGGTGCCAGCACCACAGAAAGCATGGGCCATCATTCATGATGATGTCCCAGTGGGCTGATCACCTGAGGCTCTAGGAAAATGCTTCACTAACCCTAGAGAACCATCACCAAATGCCCCTTGTAGCTGGGCATACCCAAAGAGACCTGGCCCTGGGGCTTGCCCATTCAAGATAGGAGTGACCCAGAGACAACCACAGAGCACACAGAGCTGCCCTTCTTCTGGAAGGTGAGGACCATGGCCCCTTCCTCCATGCCCACCCTAAGTACAGCCCTGATCCACGATAGCGGGGGCCAGTGCCAAGGTTCCTTGCTTGGGGTGAGGGGCGCCTAAGAGAGTAGGCTGAATTGTGCCCAGGGGTGGGAAAACTATGCCTTGGTCTGGCCCCAAGGAAATGTGGAATTAGGCCAGTGCTGCCCAGTCTTCAGCCATATCAAGGCCACCTTTAAGAGTTCTGCTATGGGGTTGCCTGGGTGGCTTCAGTCAGTTGAGCAGCTGGCTCTTGAGTTTGGCTCAGGTCGTGTTCTCAGGGTCGTGGGATCGAGCCCCGGGTTGGACTCTGTGCTTAGTGGGGAGTCTGCTTGAGATTCTCTCTCTCTCTCCCACACCGCCCCCCCATCACTCACGCTCTTTCTCTCAAATAAATAATCTTAAAAAAAAAAAAAGGAGTTCTGCCATGGCCCAGGGCCACCTTTACTTCATCCCTATTTCAATAAATATCTGTAATTACTTTCATGAATTGAAAACTGCTATCACTTTGTGGAAACAAAAGAAAAAAAGAAAACTGCCTTCACTTGTCAAAAATACTGACCCCAGGGGCACCTGGGTGACTCAGGCGGTTGAGTGTCGGTTCAGGTCACGATCTCAGGGTGGCGGGATCAAGCCCCAAGTCAGGCTCCACACTCAACAGGGAGTCTGCTTGTCCCTTTCCCTCCCCCTCTGCCCCTCCGCATGTATCTGTGTGCTCTCTCTAAAATAAATAAATTTTTAAAAAAATGACCTCAAAGGTAGATACAATGAAAACAAAACCACAGTGTTAAACTCAAGATAGTTGACCGACTAAGGTGTGGACCCAGAGTCTGGCTCTGTTAAAGAGACGCGTTGAGGAGAGGCTAGTGCCAGGGCCTTGCCCCTCAGTGCTATTCCTCTCCCCTGTGGCCAGTGGTGCACCTGTGCCTCCCAAGCTCTGGAAAACACTGAGGTAAGCACGTTGTAACTCTGAACAAGTGCACACAGGCCATGGGAAGATGTATTTATAGCACTGTTTCCGGGCCAAGGCTCTTGGAGTGCAGTAGCTCCAAGTTAGCAGACTGGTAACTCAGGAAAACGGAACCACCAATAAAGATGATCTCACTGAGTGATCAAGCCCCAGTTAAATTATTCATTCATTCAAGATTTATTGAGCGCCTCCTGTGTGCCAGGCACCGTGCTGGGCGCAGAATTACAGAGATGCATAAGATATAGTCCATGCCCTGAAGGGTTCACAGTCTAGAAGGGGAGACAAACATGTAAACAAGTAAAACACAGTGTGAGAAGTGCCACGAGGGAGAAGCATTTACAAAGAGCAGAGGTAGCCTGGAGGGTGAGGGGCATGGGGGTTGTCTTCCTGGATGAGGGGGCCTTTGAGGGGGGTTGTGAGAGATGAGTGGGTGTTTGCCAGGCAGACAAGGCCGGAGGAGCGGGGGAAAGGCATTCCAGTCTGAAGGAACAGCATGAGCAAAGGCACAGCGGCATGGAACTGCATGTCTCAGGGGGGCGGGGAACTCTATTCTGGTGGTATTGCTAGAGTTGGTACCAGAGGCTATGGCTGGGGACAGAGGCAGAGGTGGGATGATGAGGGGAAACTGAGGGCAGGGGGCATCTCAGAGGCTCACCAGAGGCGAGCAGAGCCCGAGGGAAAGCTTGAACACAGGAAGAGAAGGCTCCCCGCTGACCCGAGGTATGCTTGCTCGAGGACCTTAGGGATCCTCTCTGTGGCCCCGAAGGGACGTGGACCAGAGACCAGAGGAGAGGCTAGGCTGGGTTTCAGACCTGGGGTCCTGGAGGTCACCACTCACTCAAGAGCTGACCGCTCTCTGCTCCCAGACTTCCAATTTCTGCACTCTGCTGCGTAGACCCCTTTCCCCAGCCAGGATGGGACCAAGGATCGAATGAGAAATGACATGGGGATGTTCGTGGCAAACCGCAGAGGGCCAGAGAAATGGCTTCATAACTAAAAGAGGAGAGGGCCTGAGAGTAAAGCAGGAGTTAGAACAAGGCAGAAGTTCCTAAGAACAAGAGCCATCAGGAGAAAACTGCTGCAGCCCGGGCGGAGGATGGCTCTCTGCCCCCTTGGGAAGGGGGGTCCTTTGGGCCCCACCTGTGGGGCTGCAGTCCCAGCTCCCGGTGTCTCCTCAGCCTGAGGGCGTGGTTTCTGTGGCAACCAGGACCCTCCCTCTTCCAGGCTGCAGGGGACTCGCTGAGGCCGAGACTGTCCAGACACGCGGATGTCCAGCCCTTTCATCTTTCCCAGAAATGGCTCTGTTTAAAAAAATGCCTTCATGGTGGTGGGGGGGACGCAGGGGGGAGGCTTGGGGAGGAGGGCCAGTGTCTCTGGACACCGGAGCCCAGCTGCCCCTCTGAGTGACTGCTTCTCCAAGGCACCACACCTCAGGCCACTCTGGGGGGCCTGCGTGTCTTTCCCAAGCCTGGAAGGGAGAAGGGGGGAGAGGTCTGAACCCGCGCACGACTCCCGCTGGCCTGGGCTCAGGGGCTACAGCGGGTGAGGCCTCCTGAGGGAGCGCCGACCAGCACTCTCTGTGTCCTCACCAGGGGCAGGAGCGGAGCCAGGGAGGAGGCACCCTCCCAGCTGGGTCTGGAGATGTCCCAAGGCTCCCCCTTTCCTCTGGCCCTGGATGACTCAGCCTCCCCCCCACCCGGCCCCGTGGGGTCTCCGAGCCTTCGACCAGCCTCTGTCCTCTCGGTCTCATGGCCTCGTCCCCCTGCCCCTCCTCCCCCCGACAGTGCTGGGGCCTGAGGCCCACTGGGGGTGCCGACGAGGCGGTGGTGGCAGCAAATGAGGGGGATGGTGTGGTGTGGGCGATGGGGGGGGGGGGCTCCCCGCCATGGGGGGGCGGGCTGTGGTGGGCTGGGGGGCTGTCACTTGCTCTTGTGCAGGTCCTTCAGCTGGCGGAGCTTCTCCAGGAGCTGGGCCCGGGAGCAGCCATCGTCCCCCGTGGGGCCCGGGCCTGGCCCCAGAGCCTCCTGCAGCACCAGGCAGTGCGTCCTCAGGAAGGGGTTGTAGGAGCGCTCTTCTCCCAGGGTGGACGGGCACTGTGGGACGAGAGGCACCGGTTTGGCATTTGGCGGCGAGAGTCTGGAAGCCTCCCTGGCCCCTCCCATCTCAGGGGCCAGGGGGCCTCTCTTGAAGGCCTGTGTACCAAACATGTCGGGGCTCTAGGGATGGGTCTGCAGGCCACAGCTCAGCATGGAGGGGCTCCTGCTGGGGAGTGCCCTGGGCAAACCACCCTCCCCTGGCCTGGACCCCAGGCCCTGCCCCGCACCGTGCTCTTGCGCTCCATTCGCTGCCTCTGGACCCACTGCATCTTCCTCTCCCGGGCCAGGTTCTCGGGCTCCACCACACCTGCAAAGCCCAGGTTCTCTTCTGCGTACTCGTGACCTAAGGACCACCGAGGGGTGGTTGGGGGGCAAGATGCAGGACACAGAGAGAGGGGTGGTGTGGTCAGAAAAAGCCCCCCGGGTACCTGACGACCAGGGGGAGGGCTGGCACTGCCGGGAGAGCCCCAACCACACGGGGCTGCTTCTCTAAATGTGGGCACAGGTCAGCCACGAGTGAAGGGGCCAAAGCGGTTCAGGGGCAAAACCACCAGATCTGGAGCTGGGAGCCCTGCATCCTAGCCCTGACTCCGCCCCTGCCCAGCTGTGCAACCTCAGCCAAGTCATGGCACCTCTCTGAGCCGCAGTTTTGTCATCTGGCAAGTGGAAAAAATAATGCTACTAGAACACAGATGCGTTCCCGGAGCCTAGGACAGAGCCTGGTATGCATCTGGCGTTCAGTCAAGTATTTGTCAAATGAGTGGATGGATAAATATACGTTCCGAAGATTAGCTGACATCTCAGCGATGTGTTTGAGAAACTATGGCTATCCAATGTTCGTGGATGTATGTAGGGACATGCAGTGTCTGGACGGATGGACGGACAGACGTGCCACATACATGCATGGGGATGGATGCACATGCAATGTGGGATATGGATGCATGCAGTGGATACGTGCGGAGCGGATTTACTGACTTCTCTGATAAGCAAAGGCTGTTTTCTGTTCTCAGCTCTGGCTATAAAATATCAGCCATCTCTCTGGGATGCACCGGGGCCTACAGGGCTCCCAAGAGGCCAAGGGCTGGCTGTCAGGGGCAGTTGGCGTGAGAAGCAGAGGCATTCAGAGCCAGTACTCCAGAATGAAAGGGGCTCTGCCCTCACGGCTAGAGGTGGCTTCCAGGAGCCACCAGAGGTGGAGTGGTGTCCCCTCTGGGCCAGCAGCTGGGGCGGCTGGGACTCTAGGGGAGTGAGGGAGGAGTGGGAGGGGGACCTCACCAGGCCACAGCAGAGTGTCATCCCCCAGCCCCAGCACCGTATCCAGGGAGCTCAGCATGGTCTCTGCGGTGCCCTCAAAGGTCCGTCCTGGTGAGGGGAAGTGGGTGTGTTACAAGGTACAAGAACACAGCTCGGTCTAAGGTACATGGAGGGGGTGGGGACCAGTGTGCATAGCTGGGGCTGGCCACCAGCCCTCAGCCTGGCCCCTGCCACACTCACCCCCCAGGCCTCTATGCCCTCCTTCCCCACTGGTTGCTGAACCCACATAGTCACTCCCCAACCAAGCCTGCGGGAAGGCCCGCATTGCACATACTGACATGTGGATGGAGAGGAGGATGGAAGCTTCAGGCTGAGTGCCCAGGGCCCCAAGCACAGTTGGTGTGGGGTGGCTCTTTTCCACTTCTTTCTTTGCCTGGGCTGCCCTCTGAGACTCCGCGCAGCCTGGGACTGCGATCCTCCCCTACCCACGGGTCACCCTCTCATTTGGGGCTTCTCGACTTTTTGTAACCTAGTCTCTCCAGGTACTGGAGAACTAGGCAGGCTCTACCCAGTGGAAATGAACGCCCTGCCAGGTCTGTACTCAGTTACAAGCACTGTCTCATTCTGTGCATCCCCTGTGGGGGAGTCGTGAGGTTGTTCGAAACAACGGGCTAACATGCATAGGAGTAACAGCAAGGCAGTGTCTGCACTGAAAGCAAAGTTTTCATGTACTGCATGGGGCTGTGCTGTCCTTGGGTCTCTGCCCTGACCCCTACCCCCCACTTCCCTTTTTGGGAGGAACTCACCACAGCCAGAGAGGAAGAGCAGGTCCCCTGAGAAGAGGCAGGAGGGACCCTTGTAGGGCTCCCCATCCAGCAGGTAGACCAGATGGCCTTGCGTGTGGCCAGGAGTGGCCAGAGCCTGGATCTGAAGCCGTCCCACGCTAACCACATCTTGATGACACAGGGGACTAAGAAGCAAGGAGGCAGTAGGGGAGAGAAGGTGCTAGAGCTTGGGCCGTGCCGATCCTTGGCCTACCCGTGGTCCAAGGAGCTGGGTGATTTGAAGGAGGCAGGGCTTCCACACCAGAGAGGGAAGGCACTGACAGTGCCTAGGGCTTCAGATCCAAACCCTCGCCTCTCCCTCTCTTGGGCACCATGGCTGGATGAGTTGGGGGGTGGGCTGTGATCTGCCCTCTAAGGGCCAGGAAGGGCTTCAGCAAAGATCCAACTGCTGGTAGTCCTGCAATAGTCGACTGCAGGATGGGGTGTGGGAAAGGGGGCACAGAAGGGCCACCCACCCCGGGTCAGGGACTTACTGGGTGAGGTAGGGGATGCCGTCCTGAGGGCTCCCATACACCCGACAGTCCTGGTGCCGCCGGCTGAGGTCACGGTTTCCTCCACTGTGGTCCCTGGAAGATGGCAGAGACAGGCAGGGACTCTGAGGGGCAATGGTACGAAGCCTCTTTGCCTTCCTCGTTCTAGATCTCCAGGCCTTCGAGCCCTGAGCCCTAGGCTTCTGAACTGAGCCAAGCTGTCCACACCTCTAGGCTTTGTGTGAGCTGCTCCCCTGCTCGCAGTGTCATCCCCACGACTTGCCATCCCTCCCCTCCATTGCCCAGGCAGTGCCGACCAATCTTTCTGGACTCTCTCAGCTCCAGGGTCGTCAGCCTCTAATTCCTCCAAGTGGATCTGGTCACACTTCACCAAGGGCCCCCACCTCGTGTACTTTGTGCCAACTGCCACCTAAATGTTTGTCATTGTTGTACACTGTCACACAGGGCTGTCTCCCCTACCGGACTATAATCTCCTTGGGGAAAGAACTCACAGGGTTTGTCCATGCCCTGAGCACACTGGGCATCTAATACGTGCCCAAGGAATGAAAGATAAATGCCTGCCCTGCCCTCCTCTAGGGTTTCAGGAGCCTGATAAGCGCTGCGGTGGGAGACCCACCCATTCCCTCCTTCTCTGCTGGTGCCCCCATAACTTTATGAAGAAGGTGGGTGCCCTCGCATCCTGACTCCCCGCCCCCCAGCCCAGCGTGTCCTCCCTGGGCCTAGTCCTGCCAAGCCCACTGGGGCAAGGGTTGGCCAGGGAAGATCATCTGTACCCAGACCCCCCCCCCAGCCCCTTACCAGTGCTTGTGGGTGCAGAGGATGGCAACCAAATTAACGCCCTCCTTTTCAATGGAAGCCTGAGGGAGAGAGGAGGTACTGAGACTGAGGAGCAGTGTGCAGCAAGGGACAGGGGTGCAGGTGCTGGGCAAAGGGGCGAGAGCAGGGAGGATGAGGGACAGGGAGGTGATGAAGCTAGAGAGTGAGAGGGTAGGGAGGAGAAGGCTGGGGGAAGGGGGGCAGCCGAGGCTGAGCCAGGGCATGGGGGAGGCCGTGGGGAGGTGGGTGGAGGGAGATGCAAGGGGCAGGGGACCACACAGATACACATGCACACAGAGAAATAAGAAATGGGAAGGAAAGCTGGAGAGACCCAGACACTGACAGACACAGATGAGGAGAGAAGTAGGAGGGTCAGAAAGGCACCACAGAGAGTGAAAGACAGAAGAAACCTCAGACCATGGTCCTGAGTCGGCGTCCCTTTCCCTCTGGCTGGGCTTCCCCCACGGCTGTCCGCACCCCCCCCCAGCCCCCGCCAAGCCCTGGACACTGGCCCCACCCCCCGCTGTGGTTGTGGGGGGGGTCTCTGTGTGTACTTGCATGTCAGGGTCTCTGTGTGAGGGCACAAGGAGGGGGCACATCCCACTGGCAGAGGGATCAGGGACAGCCCCTCTCCAGTGAGGGAAAGCTGCCAGTGCCCACGGTGACCCAAAGTACCCCTGCCCCCACCCAGTCCTCCCCTCACCTGTACGGCCTGAGGGTCTGAGGGGTCCACAGCCACAGCCAGCCGGGCATGGGTGTCGATGATGAGGTAGCTGTAGTTGTCTGACAGGACGGGGATGGGAAGCACCTTCACTCCTGGGGGACAGAGATGGGCTGTGGGCGGGGTGCCGGGCAGGGAGCCCAGCGGTGGAGGGAGGTAATATGATGGGGCATAGGTGGGGGTGGGGGGGGTGGGCACAGCTTGGGGCCATGCTGGCCCGGGGCAGCCAGAGCTCACCGTTGAAGAGGCGGGGCTGGGTTCTGGAGTGGCCTTTGGGGTAGCGATTCCGAGCCCTGCGCAGCTGCTGGCGGTAGAAGAGGTACCCGAGCCAGGTGCGGGTGTACAGGCTGTACCTGCAGGGCGGGAGGTCTGCGCTCAGCCCCGCCCCCCCGCGCACGCCGGGGGTCCCCCATCTCCACTCCCTTGGCCGCACCCTGAGTCGGTGCATCTCTACCATCACTTGTATGCCCACTGTTTGCCCTGCTCAGTCCTCAGGCCAAGAGGGAGAAGGGGACAGACACACCTTAAGCCTCAGGCCCATCGGGGGAGATGTGAGCTGAGGGATTCACAGAAGGGACTCAGAGGGTGAGGGGTTTATTCCACAAAAAGGGTGTAGGAGTTAGGAAGCTGAAATGAGGTGGAAAACATAGTTCCAAAGAGCAGTGGCGCATCACATCCCGCCGCGGAGCTGCTGAACCAGATTCTCTGCCCCACCCCCCTGTCTGGGCCAGCTCAGCCGGTCTGGGGTGGAGCCTGGGAATGTGCATTCCTAACAAGGCCCAGGTGCTGCTGGTTGCCGCTGGCCCGGGGACCAAACTCGGAGAACCTCTGGGGCAGAGGAAACAACAGGCGAGGCCCAGAGGCAGCAGACAGCAGGGCCTTGTTAGGGGAAACTATAGAAAGTTCTGTCCCACGGGTTGGCGGAGGAAGTAGGGAGAGGTGAGGCGGTATGGCCTGACCACACTCCCTCTTCCCACCACCGTGTCAGGCCATCCCAGGCTACAAATGGGAAAGGCGAGAAAGTGGCACAAGGCACAGAGGGGTCTTGTGACTAAGAGTCCTCCAAACACAGGATGGCGGCATGCAGGGCGAGCATGTGACTGGCGCAGGCACACACGGCCCCACGCTGGGTTCCACGCTCCACTGCCGCCGTCTTGAAATTCTTAATGATTTTACCTCTGGCTTTGTGTCCCGGAAGTGAAGTCTGACAGGACAAGGGAATATGCCGGCGTCGAAGACCACACAGTATGCGCATGCTCAGTTCCTGCTGCCCCCTCCCCCAGCCCACATCTACCACGTTCACGGTGCCCCCTAGCACCGGATTCTGGTGGCCCCACCGTGGTGGGAATTCAAGACTCAAAGGGGCTGCAAGGTGAGTATGCATCTATGTATACAGAGGCCACGCCTTTGGTCCAAACCAGAACGTGCTTCAGATGCATAAAGAAGGTGTTCTAAGAAACACAAATGACCGAGAAACCCTGCCCCATCCTTTCTTTCTTTTTCTTTTTTTTAAAGATTTTATTTATTTGACAGAGAGAGACATAGCAAGAGAGGGAACACAAGTAGGGGGAGTGGGAGAGGGGAGAAGCAGGCTTCCCGCGGAGCGGGGAGCCCCATGTGAGGCTCGATCCCAGGACCCTGGGATCACGACCTGAGCCGAAGGCAGACGCTTAGGGACTGAGCCAGCCAGGCGCCCCTGCCCCATCCTTTCTTACTCGTGTTACTTCCCTGTATGATCCGTTTTCGCTGCAAACAATGCTACAGGAGGCAAGGGAAAGAGGGTAGCCCATCTGTCCTGCCCCTTCCGTCCTCCCGGGCTCATTAGTAAAGCCGGAGGCAGACGGGGCTGGCAGAATGCGGGTGTACCAAAAGGGAAAAAAGAAACAGGTAATTGTTTTGTGCGGTATTTCCACTGCTTGGGTAAGAACAAAATACTGTGTACAAGCTAGGAAATGTGAATTACAGTTTCAGTGATTTCATATGTGACTTAAATGTCCTTATATTTGCATTTGAAACTGGGATTGTACAGGGGTGCCTGGGTGGCTCAGTCGGTTAAGCCTCCCACTCGGTTTCAGTTCAGGTCCTGATCTCAGGGTTGTGGGATAGTGTTCTGCACTGGGTGTGGAGCCTGCTTGGGATTCTCTCCCCCTCCTACCTGTAACCCTCCCCCCCCAAAACAAAAACAAAAAACTGGGATTGTATATAATAAAGCAAAAGGCAAAATTCATGCTGATAATTTAGATTTTTAATTTTTCTTTACTTATGCTGATGTTGAGTAGCAAATTAAAAACATCAGGACAGGGGCGCCTGGGTGGCTCAGTCGTTAAGCGTCTGCCTTCGGCTCAGGTCATGATCCCAGGGTCCTGGGATGAGCCCCGCATCAGGCTCCCTGCTCCGCGGGAAGTCTGCTTCTCCCTCTCCCACTCCCCCTGCTTGTGTTCCCTCTCTCACTGTCTCTCTCTGTCAAACAAAATCTTAAAAAAAATAAATAAATAAAAACATCAGGACAAGTCAAAAAAGAAATCATAGAAGAAAGGAAAAGCTTATATTTTAGTATCTTTCATGGCACCTTTTTCCTGCTCTTTGAGCAAGAGACTCCGGATTCCATTTTACACCGGGCCCTGCAAATATTGTGAGCAGCCCAGCCAGCTCAGGACGAGCCACCTCAAGCTGTCTCACACCTTGGCCTCTCACAAGGAAAAATGAGACCAGGGTGGGGTGCTGGGCTGCTGGTGTCAAAAGCCTCCTGTGCAATGTTTAGGGTCATCCAGCAAGTCAGTCAGAAAAGGGGGCAGGGATTCTGGCTGATTAAGACAGAGACAGAGAAGGGACACCTCGGTGGTTCAGTCGGTTAAGCGTCCGCCTTCAGCTCAGGTCATGATCCCAGAGTCCTGGGATTGAGCCCCATGTCGGACTCCCTGCTCAGCGTGGAGCCTGCTTCTCCTTCTCCCTCTGCCCCTCCCCCCTGCTCGCTCGCTCTCCTGCTCTCTCTCTCTCAAATAAATAAATAAAATCTTAAAAAAAAAAAAAAAGGCTGAGAGGAGTCAAGGTGCAGGGTTGGGGGTAGATGATGGACCCTAAATATCTATGGAGATTTGCTGTGTCTATCTTAGGGTGGAGGGGGCAGGAGCAACCACTCTTGAGGCCCCTTTGGGAAGAGGTGGCTGATTTGTCTACAAACAAGTTGGTCAAACATGAGCAGGTCTCCATGATTGCATTAGAGATTAATCACTGCCATCTCTGTTCTGGGTGCC